GCTACATTTCTGTGGAGTTTGCAGGAATATTCAACAGTTTTGGCAGTGACACACACTTGGTGTTACGGGCAGACCGGCCCCTGAGGGGATTCGATGAAGTGGTAGCACAGCTTTTCTTACAGTATCCCTTTTGGCACCGGCTGTCGAAAACACACCGCAGCTGTAAGGTGATGTGAGGCGATGTGAGTTATTTCCTTGATGCCTGCCAGTGGATGGGCCATGTTGCAGCACACTCCTTGACAGGAAGAATGAATCGCTTTGATTGTTGTGACCATGTGGGCCTTGACATGCGTCTTGAGTGCTTTCTGTGGCACTCAAGCTGCATTGACAGTACTATGAGATTAATTGCAGCGTGAACACCAACTGGTGCCTATGTCCGGCTCAAACGTTCGTTTCAGAGCAGTACACAATTGAGGGTGTTCACCTTCATGGCGACTCTACTCCAGTTGGCATTGGCCAAGGTGCCGATGGGAAGATTGCAGTACACAGGCTTGTTTTTTACGCCGTAAAAGCTGATCGTATTGACGTTTTTACGCGTAAAAATGCGTAGAAATACGTAAATACAACGTAAAAACTGCCTGGTGTACATGAGGACAGTACATGCACATTTGCGGAGTCCGGAGAGTGGCAGCCAGACGCCCTGGAAGGTGCAGAAAACGAGGTTTTGTTAGACCCCATCATCGCCCTTGCCAAGGGCGATGTAGACATTGTGCTGCGGGTGCTGGAGATGGCGGAGCACTGATCGTTGTACGCAACGTTCATCGTGTAACCTAGGCGTCGCAGGGACCCGTAAAAAGTAAAAATAGCCGCAAAAATAGGCCCTTTTACAAATTTACGTGTTGACGCGTAAAAACGTAAAAGTAAAAACGTAAACGTAAACGTAAAACCAACCCTGGCAGTACACTTGAGGCATGCGGATGGCAGCACGTCGTCGATTGCAGATCCAGACACAGTACTCATGGCCACTGGGAGAGCCCCAAACGCAAAAAATTTGGGACTGGAAGAAGCTGGAGTTGAACCAAGTAAGGAACTGGGAACCTGATTTCCAAGCTTCAGATGATGTGCAGATACCAACCGCCAAGCCAACTTCACTGAATTTGCAAATACGATCAGGAACTTTCTTGTTTGCCCTTTTGCTTAGTTGGCAGTGTAAGTGACAGGCAAATGCATTGTAGGATGTGGGCAAACGAATAACTGAGCTTCCTGAATTCTTGCTTTCATGCTGCGCTGCTGCGAACGATATATTGAGGGTAACATGTCTCCACCACTCATCAGGCCTGGTTTTTACGTTAACGTTTACTTTTTTACTTTTACGTTTTTATGCGTAAAAATGCAAATTTGCAAAAGGACCTATTTTTGCGGTTATTTTTACGTTTTCACGGCTCCCTGGGACACCCAGGTTATACGATGAAAGTTGCTTACAATAATCAATCCTCGGCCAACTCCAGCACCCACAACACAATGTCCACCTTGGCTTTGGCAAGGGCGATGATGGCGCCAAACAAAAACTCGTTTTCTGCCCCTTCCAGGGCGCCTAGCTGCCACTCTCCGGACTCCGTAAGTCTGTATGCACTGTCCTTATGTACATCGGACAGTTTTTACGTCGCATTTACGTATTTTTACGCATTTTTACGGGTAAAAACGTAGAAACTAATCTTTATGCGTAAAAACGTAAATATGATTAGTTTTTACGGCGTAAGAAACAAGCCTGCTACTCATTTTCACTGCCGATGTGGAAAACATAGGGTAGAGTGTGAAGCCCAGCTGCGTACTCTTCGATGGCTGTGCACTCGATTCTCAGACTGCCGGCTAACAGGGTTGGTACAGAGATTGATAGGACACAGACCAGATACTGCTGAATCCAGAAGAGACAAGCCTGGTACGCTTCAAGCTACAGCATTGTACCATTGCACAATATTTACAATGGCACAATATTTGTTATTTACACATCATTTAGCATCCATGCTAAATGAGCCATGGCTCTGTGTGAGCAACAACATTCAGGCAATAGAAAGTTGGTGCATTTGAAGTTGTCGCCAATGCAGCCCGTAACTGGCGCTAGACAGAAACCATGCAAGATTGGCCCGGGTGCACAGGAGCGGTACGTGCCAGCCTGTGTGGAATAGGAACTGATAGAGTCGTTTACGTCCAGATGGGGGGTGCTGCAGGATGCAATACTCATTTGCAGAAGCATTAGCGGTACTTTCTGTGTTACTTGATTGCAGAGGGAATAGGATTTGCTCAGATACTCTCCTTTACTGGACACAACCGTATTCGGGCAGTTTCCTAATGAAAGAGACTTGAGAGGCCATTGCCCCCATTTTATGGGCAGCACCTTCAGAGATGCCTGCATGCACATTGATTTGTGCGAGTCCGCATACCAAAAGTGAGCACCCTTGCACCCAGCACGGGTGACGGCTGCAGTCGCCATCAACGCAGCTTCTCCGCATGTGTGACTATGCTTCTGAATGCAATTGCATCCATAGTGGAAAGAAATCCATTAAAAATGTCCCTAGTGTGGAACCACAACAGGAAAGTGCCACACTTGGCCTACTGTCCAAGGGGTGTGCCCACCGTGCTGATCATCTCATTGTGTCTGTGTATGCGTGTTTGTATATTTCTTTTGGCATTGTATATGGATTGCGCTATCCGGAAAACATTACAGACACTGAAGCACCCCCTCTTTGCAAGGGAACATTAGGCCATTTCCCTCCTTTAATTGTAATTATACCGCCAACGTCAAGAGTAATTTAAGGCAAAATAGTATGTGCGATGGCAACAAACATGTGCTGCTCGAACTACCAGGGAGAATTCACCACCGTTTGTTTGCGGCAGCGGGCATGGCAGCATCATAGCATTGTTCAGGCCTTCTGTCAGCAATAGTCGCATTGTCTGGTTGTGAGTTGGGGTGCCATGCATAGGTTCCGCTGTGTGACGGGAGCAGTTCACTTTCCCTTGTAGATGGCAAGGGGCTGTGGTCGTGGACGAATACACTCAAACCACCGTCCCCAGTATCTGGGCCATTGGTGACGTCACTGACCGGATCAACATGACGCCTGTTGCAATCATGAAAGGAATGCCTTTGGCGAAAACCCTGTTTGGTGGTGACAAAACGAGGGCAGATCATCTCAACGTGGCCAGTGCTGTGTTCTCACAGCCACCACCGGCAACTGTGGTAAGCAGACTCAGCTGAGTTGTGCGCCGTCTGGACGCCCGCAACATTGCACTTGAATATTGTCGGATTGCCATATCAGATTGGAAAAAACGTTGTGTTGCTCGCAGTTCCTTCAGTTCAACCTGCCTCTCGCAGAGGTATCCACGTGTTGTGCAACCAGTGATTTGGCATGGAATCCCATCCGAGGTTTGATTATTGTTGAGAAAGGAAGGCCCAGCCGGACATTTGGTGCACGTGTGTAGCTCCTGTTGACGATACGGATGTGCATTTGTGATGACCACAGTTTCATGGCAAGTTTTTTAGTTGGCATGCATCGTAGAACAGTGTGCGCAGCTAAGGTGTGAACATTGCACCCATCCCGTGCATGAGCCCAGAGCTGAACTTGGGCATTGGCTGCCACGGGGGATTGAGAACAAGGGATATCTTGACAGTGGGTATGGTACGCCAGGGGCATGCCCCCTGGATGCATGTGTACTACGGTGATTTTGTCTGCTGTGTTTTCTTGGGATCCGATATTTGGCCAAATGTTTGTCAACTGCACGGGTCACAGCATCTCCACGTGCCTGGTGGAAGCCTACGACAGGCGATGCCTCTCTAGTTGGCTAGTTTGCATTCCCAATCGTGCTGTGCACTAGAACCTCGTAAATCTCTGTAGCGGTGCAGCCAACACAAGGATTTGCATACGCATATACTATGACACAAGGTTGCTGCTACTGCTCCCTGAACTAACCTCAGTAGATGCCACACGTGCCGTGTCTTTTGTGTTGAATTTCCTATTGCCTGCTTGATGCTCAGGGCATGACAGAGCAGCAAGCCGCAAAAGAGTGCGGAGATGTGGACATTTACACATCAGCCTTTCGTCTGCTTAAGAACACAATATCCAACAACCCAGGGAAGTCCTTCATGAAGCTGGTGGTGGACGTGAAATCTGACAAAGTTGTGGGTGTGCACATGGTGGGACCCGACTGTGCCGAGATCATGCAGGTGCGCTAATCTATGTGTACTCTGTGAGTGGTCGTGCAGGAGTGTGCCTTGGCCAGCAGTAGTTCTTGTTGCACCGAGAGATGCAGTGCATCGCGGGCCCTTTTGCCGCGATTGAGAACCCTGTGACAGCGAGCCACTGAACTTCCAACCGAAACTACATGACTGCCCTGTACCCACTGCACAATTGCTGCACACTGTACCTCCAATCCCCATTTCCACCCCTGTGGGAAGCAGATCGCGATGCCAGGCCTTCAGTCCCAACCCTTAGCCTGCGCACTTGCCGCTCTTAAACAAGGTGTTGGTTTGTGCACGATCCCGGAGTGTTGCGGCTGCAAGGGATGGCTGTTTCAGTTACGTTTGGCGTGGCAAAGCAACGGTTACACGCTGTTGTTGGTATTCATCCCACCGCAACCGAAGAGTTTGTCACCGTGCGGAGCGTCACAAGGAAGATGCGTGCATGACGACCTGCAACTGGACCGTCGAGCGATGGAGTTTTCGCTCATGAATGGCTGAACAACATTCATTGGCTTTAATGCTAACATTGAGCTTGTGCCCACAAGCCTGTACTTTATCTGCCATTGCCGCAGTGGTTCGATTATCCGGGTGACAACTCGTTTTTGACGTGGAGTGGCATCACAACCTGTTGGGCTGGTGCACCACGGTATATAAACAGTTCTCCATTCAAAAAGGCCCTGAAGGAAGTCAAAAGATGGGAGCGTTTCAGGGTGTGTGGTGCCCGCTTGAAGCCTAGCAATGGTATAGATAAATTGTTGCTGGCATCAATAATTGGCAACTTTGGGCTGCAGTCACACAGCCTCTCACAGCTTTCCTTGGCTCCAACCTATTCTTTGATGCTGTCACCCACAGTCTGCACCCCTGGCTCGGTGCCAATCCCAACCATTTCCCCTATGGAAGGAGCTTCGTTTGGATGCAGCGCTTTGACAACTGTATGCAGCTCTCTTCGTTCCTGGCAAATGCACACAAATGAATGTATGTCAATCGACTCGCCTAGTACGCATACGAACACTAGAAGGGGCAATCAAGCGAACCAATGCCTGTCAAATTGAAGTTACGACAGTCCATGCCTTGCCTCTCGACATTGAGTAAACAAGTGTGTGAGCCCCGCTGAGAAATCGCCTCTTAAAAGCCCTGCTGCTTCACACAGTTCCATCTGAATTACCTCGTCCGTCGTTGATTCCTTCAAGCTGGAAGCGATCAACTCGGCGTGACCAGATTCGGTTTGCAACGGGAACGCCCCCACAAGGTTCACCAACTTTGTCAGGCCAGAAGGATAGAGGGTATCCCCCCGGTGGCTACGCATGTCCACTGCCACCTGTGAACAACATAATGTGCACAAACAGTCCATCATGCGGGGTGACGCTGTTGTTGAATACACCATTAGTCATCCTGTCCCTAATCTCAACGTGAGAAACATTCTGAAGCGCAATAACTGACTGGATGATGCAGTAACAGATCAGCTAGAAATATGGCATGGTTACCTGGTATGTGTTGTGAAGAAAAGCGAAAAAGCATCCTGTAAAACTGCAAATCGTGAGCAGATACGTTCCCGAAGAAATACTGAAAGAAAGAACAGGTCAGCAGTTTAGATCGATATTAATGGCCACAGCCACCTTCCTCATGCCCCAAGTTCGCCTGCACACTTCAGGACACCTGATGAGTGTGTCGCTCTGGCTGCGTGGTTGCAGGCCCCTGAAGCTTTGGAATGGCAGGAGCTGTGCCAGTTAAAGGCACGTGAAAATGGGCCAAGGGTGGATGGATGAGCCACATCCATATGGCAAAGCACAGGCAAGGGAATAATGTGCACAAACACAAACACGATTTACAGGATCCATGGTTGGACACAATACTCTGGTATCAAGTTTAAAACTTCTGCAGCGCTTGTCATTCTCCCATACCTCAAGGATAAGTGCCCTTGCCCTGGACGCCACCATCCCAAGCATGACGTCTACAGCCTTTTGCTCATCGAGGTTCAAGTAATCGGCCAGCCCAGCGACAAACTGGTTGGGTGGGATCCCACCAACCTGTGCTCTGTCAGCAGCAGAGTCGATAGCCCACAACGCCCCGGCACGGAAGACAGACAAGGCGATGTTCTCACTTCGACCAGAGATTCTCACACTGCCTGACTGGTAAGAGATACAGGAAATTAGGGAGCCCACTGACAATCAACGCCAGTCTCACACACATCCTTGACCTCGTGCACATACCTGAGTATGATAGCTCTTGCCAGCAGACAGTAACAGAACAGCCAGAGACCAGTACATGTACCAATAGTAGTCAACACAGTGAAGCAGAGCATTGTTTCACTCACCCCTGGCTGAGAATTTGATGCAGGTAGGGCAGCGCCAATGACTAATAAGGTGGTGATCAGTGCCCACCAATGGGTGCTTTCGCCCCCACTCCAAGCACGATGATCAAAATCCACACCTGACACGTCTTGAATAACTCCAGAACAGTGCCGAGTGCATAGTCCTGACCGTCCACCTTTGCATTGGCAAGGCGTTGCAGCAGCAGCCTGGCACCTTTTGCAGCCTCTTGCTTCACACTTTCGGGCACATAAATGGATGGCGGGATAGACCACCTGAAACATGATACCATGGTAAGCCCACATGCATTTGTAAGTTGCTAAAAATTGCCCTGTGTAACTGCATTTCATCCCCAGAATGCACACCACAGCACAGTCGGTGAGCATTTGCGACACATACCATTGTGGCATCCTTGCTGCCGGTGTCATCTGTTGAGCAGACTCAGCTCTACGGGCACGCTCTCCAGTGTCCAGAGGGTTGAGGCCCTGATACCCTCCTGGGGCAGGAACGAAAACCTGCCAGTGTGCACAAACAGTCAGTCACTGGTTGGCGGTGCAGCCAGCAGCCAGCAGGACAGCTGACAAACAATTTTGTGGGCCTTTTGACACCGCATCTATTATGCACCACTGTCCACATGTGCAATAGGATAAACACTGTCACATATATCTCCACGTTTCCAATACTGTTTGCCAAGAGTGAAACTCACACCTGGCAATGCAACGAAACTCCAGTGCAGTGTTAACCGATTCCAAGTGAAAGCCCAACGCCTAACAAACAGCTAGTTATTGCACAGATGCACCAGCATAGATTGGTGCACCACTCCCAGCCAAACATGCAGATTCCACTGATGCAACCTGCTTCACAGTAGATGCAAGTCCTCTGTGTGTCGTGCACCTGTCTACCTCCCAGCGAGCGGTCTGCCACCCATCGGCCTCGGTTGCCACCTTTCTTTCTTCTCAGTTGAGCATTTATCTTTCCAGCGATGGTGGGAATGATGGCAACTGAGAGAACAATAACAGCAGCAATCCATGCCAACCCAGCATACCCATCCCTGGCTCCATAAGCAGTACCAGCCCCGAGCACCTCATGTGTTTGCATGGGGGCAGTTGCAGTGAGGATAAGCTGCACAATGCAATGCACAGAACGCAATTACAAAATGATCAATCAGAATCTTCGACTGATACCTGTCAGGCTTGTGGCAGACAATGCAACTTTAGTTCAGAGAGCAACAACGGCAGTGTGTTACAGCTGCCCGTTCACCTCTTTGGATCTTGTGCCTGATTTGGATTGATGGCCTGCCATCCATGATTGCCAAATCGCTTGTGCCTGAGGAAACACCTGATGTCAGAATCTCTCTGTTTGGTCCCATAAAAGTACAATTCCTGAAGCACTCAAAGAAACTGGCCCACTTACATTCTGTTGCTGTACTCCAGCCTTCCGGTCAATGCCCTGCCAAATGCAGGTGAGCGATCGTAAGTTTGACAAATGAAAACAAAGCAGCTGATGGAAACATCATGGGTGTGCGGTGAGGGGGCTGCGTGTCAATGCGGCTGTTCTATTTTGCTATTTGATACACTGACAATGTGAAAGGGGGACTCCACATTTGCGCAGCTCCATTCGCAATGTGAGGAAAGCCACCCGGGCCCAGTCCGAATGGCACATCACACAAGCAATCCCAGGGACACTTGCGCCAAGAGATGCTGGTTCACCTCTTCCACCTCCCCACTGTACTGCCGAGCGTCCCATTTTTCTCCAAGTCGTCTGTGATGCCTTCTGGGCATCCACCTCCTCGTCCCGCCTTCCGCAGGCCCGCACAGCAGCCAACCCATTGCGCCGGTCACAATCCGCAACAGCCAAACTCTATCTTGCCGCGACCCGTCGCCCTCCGTCCCACCATTCGGACAACCGGCCCACGCGCCACCATGGAATCCCTGGACCGCACGAGGGCTGGCTGCCCGACTGTGTTGCTGTCCCGAATCATTCTGCCTGCAAGCAGCAGGCCTCCTCGCGAAAGCGAGCCTTTCCACCTGCCCGCGCGGTGCGGCCCCCGGCTGTGGGTGCCCCCTGCCGCAAGGCCGCGCCGTCGCCATTCTTGTCGCGCGAAATGCGCGGAGCACGCCAAGACTCGTCGCCGAGCGACTCGGCGTTCTTCCGAGCCTGTGTGCTGACGTGTGCAGTGAGGAGCGTCGGGCGGGGACAAAAAAGCGCCCTCTGCCGAGGGGTAATCTGACACCAGCGGGGAACATGCCACAGCCGTTGAGGCTGAACTCCGTCGTCAGTTGTTGCAGCGATGTCCTACCCGCCCATGCCCTTCGGCTACCCTTCTCCAGCCGCGTCTGGCCCTGAGTGCGTGTCTCTGCGCCCTCTGACCCCGCGCGTGGCCGTTGGCGGAGATTTGGTGCTGATCTTGGGTTGCGCGTCTGGAACAGCCCTCGAAAAAAGCAGCAGGTCGACGAGCTGCTCGCCCAGGTGCCAAGTTGCCGGCCGCTCAACGTGGACAGGTGAGCAGTGCCGCACCCGCGAACGGAGCCGCGGGGTCTTGTGCACGGCGAGGTGGCCCCCCGGCGCAAGTCTTCTGATGTGATTTTGGATGTGATTTTTGATTGCGACGGCCGAGAGTGGACGTTCCCGGCGGCTCAGGCAGTTGTGTGCTGGCAGGACGTTGCTGGAGCTTCCGGTGCAGACGCGTGAAGGGAGATTGCTGGCCGTCCAAATCAGCCTACCACAGCGTTTCCCGGATGTGGGTGCCGTCGACAGCGTCGCCTGCTTTTTTCACGCACCCCACCACCCTCACCACCCCCCGGTTGTAGCTTAACTTGAGGCTGAACGCAGTTGTGCGGTTGCTCCAGGAGCCACCCGTTCTCGTGGTGAAACAGCTGTTTCGACATCCTGTAATTGACGGGAATGGTCGACTGCAGTTGCCAGCGCTGCAGTTCTGGCATCCCGGACACAGACTGGCAGCCGTCGTCAGGGACGCACAGAGCGCCTTGATCGGCCAGCCTGCCCCAGCCGGTGAGATCTGAAGGCAGTGTGCCGCTCAATGGGGCTGAGTTGATGGCAGTTTTACAGCTCCTTGGTTGATTTCCATCGGTGATTCTCGTTTTCTCCCAACCGCTTGATTGTGGGCTTGGCCTTATGGACACATCGTAAAGAGCGGGTGCTTGGTCTGCTGTAGCGCACCGTGCCACGCTCATGGGCTCTGTATTTGATAATTGGTCGCATGAGTGTCGTCAGGAGAGCGCAGGCATTTTATTGCTTGCAGATGTTCTGTGCGTGTCTGCACTTTCGCAAATTCAGACAATGTAAGAATGGGAATGTGCAAGTGTGTGTTCTTATGTCCAGGAACCAGCGGAAAAGTCCACTACGCAGCTGGCAGGCCACGGCCCCGTCCTGTGAACGGCACCATGCCAGTGGCATCGCACATCACCGCAGCACTGCAGGAACTCAGTATTGAGCAACTAGGCAGGTGCATGATCGATGCAGCTGCGTATCAGCAGCTGGTCAAAAAGCTGCTCCAGTCCTCGCAGGTAACACCAGCACAGCAGTACAACATGAGTTCCCTGTTGCTCATTACCTGCAATTGTGTGGCCAGTTTGTCAGATAAGCAGCGATCAGGCGTGCATGCATATGGCAGTGCTTCCTGGTGCTGTGTTTTGATTGCTGAGCTGACAGAAACAAATGGCACAAAATAACTGATATTGATTCGGCAGAATTGTGCAAACTTCAGTGTGGTGAAAACAGGACAAGGATCACTGACTGTTTACTTAGCATAATGTTCTGTTGGCAGTGGCCATTGACACAGAAGCTGGCACTGGATACAGGTTTCTTGTGTAAATGAGGAACTGAAGAAGAGCAATCGAGATGTTGCTCAAAGCAACTTGGAGCGTGAGAAAGAAATGCAGGAAATTGGAAACCACATCGCAATCATAAAGTCCTCTGAGTACGCTGATGCCAAAGGCCTGTACCATGAGCAGCTGCAGCGACAGCAGGAGGTGGTGGGACGTTTGAGCATTCCAGTGCTGCGAGAGCAACTGCAGCAGGCTGCCAAAAAGGTGGGTTCACCAGATGTTGCGTCATGTTCCTGACATGCTGCTGTTGCGCATGGTCATGCTGTCCTTTGCCAGCTGCTCAGTCAGCTATCTCTGACGATGAATTGGACTGTTGCCATTGTGGTTGACTTTGTCAAACATTCCTTCTTCCTTTTTTGTGTGCACATGGGCGTCATGTGTGTGCAAATGGAGTGTTTCAGACATGCCCACCAATTGCTCAGTCAGTATGCAGGTTATATCCCCACCAGTGTTTGCCAGATGATCGTTTGCAGCTGCATTTGATTCACAACGCTCGTTTCCCATCCCAAATATTGCTCAAGGATGTTCACCGCTATTATTATTGGTGGGTGCCCATGTGTTGGGCAACAGTACACCTGTGGTGTTGGTGTATTGTGTTGCCTTCCGAATTCATGGGATAACTGTGGAATATCTGTGGAAACTGTAGGTTGATGAAGAATCCGAAGATTATAGCAGAAGATTCTTGTCTGGAGATATATCTGCTGAGACATTCACTGATGAGTTTTGCAAGCTAAGGATGACATACTATGCACGGGAGCTGAAGGCCCAAGCTGCAGGACAGCTTCAGTAATTGGGATAGCCATGTGTCTGTCTGTGTATATAGATTTGAGTCGCCTGTGCAGCAGCCCAGCTGCCAGAGTGGTTAATTGACGTTAGGCATTTAGATGTAGGATGCCAGATGTAGAATGGCAGCAACAACCTCAGGCATGTTGTGAGCCTGTCAGATGTTCGTGCTTTTCGTTCAGTTGGCTGGAGGCAGAAGGAAGAGGACGGCTGCCGCCCAGTGGTGCATTTGCCTGCTCCATGCTTGTGTGCAAAACTTGCAAAGAATCTTGAGCGTACGTCCGCACAATCATGTTGGCCGTCCAAACATGAGCTTTTGAGTATACCTCTTGCCATGACTTGGCTCCACAGTAGTTCCTTGAACAATGAATCAGGATGCAGGGCAGTGGCCAAGCGAAGTGTCCAGCAGTCAGTTTTGTCAGTGTAGTGACATTGAAGTACAATAACTAAGCTCAAGCGCATGGGGGAATGGTCACATTCACATGTGACCCCACAAGAAAGGAGCAAGTCTACCCCAAGACAGGCTTCGCGACTTTCGGATCCCTTCCGCCATGAAAAGCAACAAGCGAGTGGGGCATTAAAAAGCAGTACCGTTGTGACCTGCGTTTCAGCCCTGATAAGGAGCTGCTACACACGTGTCTTTTGCAATCCCTTTGGACAGTGATTCATCATCGCAAAAAGTTCTTGTGGCAAAACCTGCGGTGTCCTTTCTGGTACCCAAGCATTTTCGACTCCAGCATCGTCTCTTGACTCAAGAACATCGTTCGTGGACATTTGGGTCATTCTGTGCCGCCTTTGTTTCGACCCGTTCAGAAACGCTTCGTCACGAACCCCGTGGACAGGCCAGTGACCTGAGGTCACTTCCTTCGGGTCTTCCTTGCCTCCCCTAAACACCACCAAGAATGTCTAATAACTCAAGTTGCAAAGCCTCAACTCCCAGCTGCCCCCTGACATATTACCCTTTTCTTTCAAAGGGGCTACCGTTTATTTATTGTTTCGCAGTGGCAGCTTTGCTCGGCGCACAGTCCATCGATCGCCACGGAGCTCCATCACACACGAGGCACAGGCGACGGTACCAAGCACAGCGGTGGTGACCACGCAACGCCGCGAACCGGCTGCAAGCGACGTTGGGCGGGGCCGCAAAAGCCCCACCCCTTGCGCGGCGGCCCCCGCTCCTCCGCGCCCAAACCCTGAATGAGTCATCGGAACTTGTTCGGTTTGATGTATCCCGCACCCAACGGGCGCCCGCAACCTGCAGCAAGGTTTCTTTCTCCCTGGGTCGCCAGGAATAAGCCATCATTCCCTTTGTCAAGGGGGCACCTCGCGCGAATTGGCTGGAGGGTCGCGGGGCCGGAACAGCTGACGTGTTGGCTGCAGCTGCGGCTCTCCGCTTCGTGGGGCACTGGTGCTGGTGGGGGGCGCCCGCTCTCCGCCTCTGTGAGGCAAGGTGCCCAGTGACAGGCCGCGGCGCGCCCACGCAAACGATCGCAGGGTGCTTCCGAAAAATCGCCGGGTTGGTCTGGCGCGTTTGCGTGGGCCTACTGTTGCTGCAGTCGTGCCGTTCGGCGCGACTTGCCGGCCATGTGTTTGCTGCCCTGAGAGTGGCGATGGTTGGAGTGTGGCGTTTGCACTCACACTGTTCACCGGTGGCAGTACCCATAGAGTTTGCCGAAGCAGGTGACCCGACCTACCTGTCTGTCGCCTTTCCGGGCGTGTCGGTGTATGTCGACGCTGAATCTGGGAGATGCAGCGGCCGGCCCAGCCAACGTGGCTATGCCACGGTTTTCTGACCTATCTGATTGCAGCGCCTGTCAGCGCTTCAGACAACATTGAGTTGTGCTGCGCCATCCGGACAGGCGGAATGGCCAGAACTGTCGATATTTTCTGGGATGGGCGGCCGTCTGGCGTGCAGCAGGCGTTGTCACCTGCGCATTTGTTTGCTGTTTGCGGTACTGCCGCCCAGCGGCCGTGTTTGCATGGATGACTCGACATCGCTCACTCCAACATGGAATGCATGTGAACTCTTGCCTATTCAGAGCACTTGTGAGGTGCTGTTGGACTGGGGAGCCAAAAGATGGTGTGGCAACGTCGGGACTGCGTCGGTTGAGTCCAAAGCCACATCGACATTTATCCAATGTGTGGATTGCAGTCCATGCCAAGCAAACTCCCATAGCCACGACAGTGGTGCCCATTGTGCACACTGGGTGATGTCTAAATGTGTGCTTGCTCATGGAGCAGGCGGAGGATAGAGAAAACAACAGCAGCAGCATTTGATTCCCCTTTTGGTGACACAGGGACAGCAGAGGGCTCCCGTTTTGAAAGTGGCCAGAGGGGTTTCGTACGAAAGTGTCCAAGTTGATGACGGAGCAAGGGAGCCTGACTCCAAGGCAATCTGCCAATGCTAGTGACGCCGGGTCGGTCTACCTGTCGGCAGGTGGAGGATCATTCACCTCTTCGCTGCACACAGAGTATTTTGGCGCACGAACCGATGGGTCGGGCTCTGATGCAGAGGATGCTATTGACCCAGCAGCCTGGTCTGCAAGCAGCCCTCGACAAGGAGGGGCAGCATCTGCGGAGGTTGGAGAGTCACCAGCCGCCAAAGTGACGTCAGCAGATTGGTGCCAGAGCTTCGGTCAGGATGGTGCAAAAGATCCCGGTCAGGCATATGCAGCTGTTGTGAACGAAGGCAGTGTCGAAGTCCCCACGGCCCTGATGGCCCGAGGCCAGGAGGTTGAGGAGGCTGGAAAGCCGTCTGAGAGGTTTCCGGTCGTGGAAGAAGGCAAAAGTGTGGAAGACTTGGTGAAGATGGTCAAACAAAGCACAGCAGAAGGAGAAAACGTGGTCGCACCAGCAGAATTGGGCGATGTGACGACAGATGCCGCTGTTGCTACAGCCAGCAAGGGGCCCAATGGTGAGCTGGGGGTGATGGACGGGATTGATGAAGAATGGGAGTCGGGTGCCAGAGGAAAAGAAGACGTAGATGCCAGACCAGTACAGGGCGGTTCATATGATGATCCGCTGCCAGTGTCTACGAGTGGCCATGCGAGAGGAGAAAACGGAAGTGGTACCCTGCCCATCAATGGTGGAAGCCCCACAACCCCTGGGAAACCAGTACGCGATGAGACAGCTGAGCCTAAGGGGGGGTGTTGTTCGTGTTTTGGGAGGCGTACATAATTCTGTTTGGATTCTTGCCGACTGGATTGTGGATTCTTGAACTGGGAGGTGGAATGACAACCGTCTCATGGACACTCAGTCCAGAATGCACTGCGCTTGGAAACCAAATCGGATGGCGCACTACCTCGATGCTGCCTGGGCAGTATTCTTACGTTATGGACGTGACCTCCACGTTGGTGCCTGAGTGCTGAACACTGCGAATGATGCCAGTTGGGTGTGTAAATGGAACATTCTCGTTTTGAGCTGCAGTTGCTCTGGTTCGCTGTGAACAATTGTTGCTTGCTCTTCAGATGTTGCATTACTGCAGATACTGTGTAGATAATGCTCGATGTCAGCGGACTTCGTCCCTATCTTTTGTCACAGACGCCTTGCTTTCTCTTGTCGGTTCCCATACAAGAACAACTGTGACGTGTCGATGGTCATGCAAGCGAATGGAAACATCCACAAAACGCACACCTCTGGCTGTCCCATGCGCAGACTATCTGGTTGATCCTTACCAGTGGCGTCTTCAAGCTTTCTGATGAAGTATACCCCCCGCCAGAACGCTGTGCTTTCCGCTGTTAGTCACAGGACAAAACTGGGGGAAACTGTGCCCCTTCCAGCGAGCATGTCCACAGCACAGCGCAGACGGCCACGGCATGCGAGCCCACGCAGTGGAATCCAACCGTTACCCTGCTACAGTCCACGCAATATGCAAGGCAGCCCTCAACACAAAATATTGCAGATAAACTACTTCTTGGACCCTTGTTCGCCTTTGGCCCAGCTCACAAATCCGTCCAACATCTGTTTGGGCTTATTTGGAAGACTCTCTATGGTGGAGAACAATTCAAGAATGTCTTCATTTGGGTCTGACAAGCCGTTCTTTGTGGGAATCCCACGAATCGGTGCCAAACGACTCCTGACAGCCGTCATGGTGCCCTGCCACACGTTTTTTTCCCCCAGAATGAGTTGAGTAGCGAGGCGCTGTTTGGGATCCATATCGCTCTTTTGCAGGGCCTTCACGTCTTCCTCAATAGTGGTGTCGTATGCCGCCAGTCGGGTACGACATTCGCCCATAAGCAACTGCAGAACTTCGTACTCATTCATCTGGCTCACAGCAGCATCTTCGTCGAATCTCACCTGGCATAACAATAACTCAGCACAATCCCGGTGTGCATGCCAGCCAAATACCACCAACGACAGAAATGACAGTATGGGGCGTGTTTCTGAGCCGTGGCTACAATCTAAGAGGGGTGGAGCTGTGCCCATCACAAAGAGACGTCTTCGCTTCAAAGCCATACTGCACCAGGCTTTCAACAGAACGGCATGCAGAAGTTCTTGAGACACACAGTGGGGCCCAGGTGGATGAATGGCATTTAGAACTGCTGGCTGACAAACATCATCGCGGTGGCCGATGCCCCAAATGAACACTGTGCCACAAAGGCAAACACGGAACAATTCGAGCAAACTTAGAACGTCAGCTTTCAAAGAAGGGCCAAAGGGTGCGACAAGAGCCCACCTTTGCTAGCTGTGCTGCATCTTGTACCCTCGACAGCCTCAAGTACGACAACAGCTGGGCAGGCATCTTGTCCTCGTAGATTGGGAATGACTGCTTGGCTTGCAGGCCCAGGCCCTCCAAAATCTGTTTCTTTGCCCTGAATAGTCCGTCAGATGGCACCAGCTCCACGTCTATGCTCAAAAAGTCGGATGGGTTCTGCTCTTCTAGAGATCCGAGAGCGAGCAGACGCTCTCCGTTTGGTTGGTCGTAGTACAAGGAGACTTCCTCACCACCCCTGGGCATGCACAGATGTTGTCCTTCGTCGGGCAAATCACTCTGAGACTCTGCTCTAGACATGCTCAGGACCACATGGACAGTGATGGGACCCTTGTTGGCGCATGATTTATGGTTGGAACTCCAGATCAACAGCATGGCTGCGACCAAAGATCACTGCCTCATTAGGAAGCTTAGTCATCGCAGCAGCAGTACCTGACAATTTTTGCACGACCTTGTGAACAAGAGTCACCTGCAGAATAGAGCTCACCTGTAGGATTTGGAGGCTGTGACTACCACTGCATCCAAATCGGCGTTGTAGTCCACAGTGCAGCCACTCTCATGTCCAGTGCGTGCCAGAGCACTCACAACTGGAAGCAGGGCAAAGCATTGTGCAGATGGCAAGTAGGTCGAGCAAGCCAAGACAACAGAGAATGCCTTTCGAAATTCCTGCTCTCCAAAGATGTCTGCATCACAGACCCCACAGTTATTCACGAATCTAACCACAATTCATGGAAGCAGCCTATCAACTGGATCCAAAACAGGGACAGAAAGCATGGCAATGGCAGCTTGATTCTGGAGATCCTCCCACAGTGAACATGAGGTTGTCCAATGCAATTAACAAACAACACTGCCCCCCCAGCACCCCACTCGTAGCTGCACCCTAGCGCAGAATGACGTGCAACACAGTGCAGTGCCAGGCATCTGGGATCTTGATGCTCCCACCTTAGACATGTCCCTATCTGGACTTCCGTGCCCGTCATGAGGACCCAGTGCAAGGCTGATTCACTTTGTTTTGAGAGGTTTAGGGCGCCATGTACAGAGGTGGGGCCCAAAGTGGAGGCAGGTGCATGGTGGGCTGGGTCGGATTCTGGCAGTTGGGTGCTCTATTCTGCACCAAAATCTTTGTTCAATCTTGAGGGCGTCTTCACAGCTTGCCATGGTTTGAGGGCTTGAATATGAATCCCAGCTGTTCATAAATTCATTGAATTTGGACTCAAACCACAAATTCCAACAGTTCAATTTCATTCGATTTTGATTTTCGTGGCCAACGTACCTCAGCATTCTGTGTGTGGAAATATGCATATGATATCACGTTGCAAAAGCAGGGCTTTCTCACCCTTCAACACATGGAATCCAACGATTTACCCAGCACCAAAAATGGAACAAGTGGCCATCCCATGAACAAGGGCAAGCACACTAATAAATGCGGATATGCCCTGAGGCCCTCTGCCAATAAACAAAGCTCTCATAGTAACCGTGCAATTACCTAGTGGTCAGCAAGTAAGCTTTGATATGCATACTTCCATGGACAGCCTGCTTACGCTTCATGCTACCCTGCTACCATGGGTCAGTACCTGGGGGAAATCTTTTGGGGTTTCTGCTGATTACTTCACTCAATGCCTCCCATTCTTGCCTCAGAGCTGCTACTCTTGACTTAGTTTGCTGCAGGACCTCAGACTCAGACAGCCACTTCAGCTCGTTTTCACTCCACAGAAGGGGGCTTAGCGTGGATTCCTGTCGAGCAGAAAGCAGTCCCTGATCCCCATGTAGCAATTGGTAAAGGGTGTGGTGCACAGGCAAAGAATGTATAGCGCAGTGCTCACAAACAACAAGCTTGTTGACTAAATAGCACTCTCCGCGTGCGCAGACATGTTCAATTGTCTTGGGGCCCAATGCACAAACCCTGCCAACATTTCAGAAGGTATACCTCTCTTGGTCTGGGCTATCCCAGTATCACATAACTGAGCACTTCTGCAGCAGCACGCAAGCACGTGTTCTCTCCTCTCAGGCTTCCAGTTTAGGATGCGCACAGCACAGGATTGTGTTGTCTATGCACTTGTCTGCAATGAAGTGATTTTGGGGTCAAAATGCTGTGAAACCTGCAGATGATCAACGCGGGCAACGTGTTGAAAGGAATCCCATCGGCCAACCGTATGCCACCAAGGAAAACAACTGCAGAGGCAGGTCTATATATTGTAAGCGTACTGGCAAAGTTTGCAGCAGCGGATACCAGCTTGAAGAAGCATCACGGGATTGTTCTGCCATCAGCCATAATGCCATGCAGACGAGTGGACTGCGCCCTGTTGTTAGCTCCCCAATGTCTTCGTTGCCGGCAGCGTCTGCTGCAGTGACGGCCACGTCTCCTGGTATCTGCAGCACTACCTGCACAGCATGAATTCGCTGCAGCCAGGGTGTCCAGAGTCTTTTACATTGCTGCATTGATCAGAACATTACAAATGGAGGATGTCGTGTATTCCAGCTTCATTTGAGAAGTACGAAATTTTCACACCCCTTACCACTGCTTATTTGATTTCACGGTGATCTTTCTGCAAGGGGTGATCAATTGGTGCGGGACGCCACCATTCGACGCTCACCTCCCCAGCTCGCACATCGCGCGTCGTGACGAACGCCACACGGCCCTCCACCGCCTTCCGCTGAAGCAGCACCGATTTCGCGTCAGCAAGCTTCGGAAGCCATTGCTCCAGCCTGTCGAAATTCGCTTCCAAAGCAGCCCCCGACCCCATCGCTGCTGTGATGCACGGACATCTTTGGGACGGTGCCCTAACTGGTGGGCCAAAACCGCAGCGCGTGAAGCGCTCCACGGCAGGGCTGCGACGAGCGAGCGCCTCTTCGGCGGCGACGCGTTGGCATTGGCGCTCGCCTTGCCCGGCGGGGACCGGCCGCACCAGCGACGTCATGCCAGGAGCCTGCACTCACGCCATTCGAACGATCGTTTATTCTTGTGTGTGAATTGACACAATTTGCTCGATTAGGACTTCGGATGGCCGGCTCCGAAAGCAGAAGGGAGCCAGAAGGGACCTGATTCGTACAATTGGTCCGGGCAAAAGCGCTGCAGCATGCTCTTGTTCGGACAGTGTGCGACCAGAAAACTGCCAGCTGGGCACAATTCGGACACACCGGAACCGACGACGCGCTGCCATTGGAATCGAGTTTAGGGAAGACACTAGTTTGAATTCTGTGTGCTTGGCGTCAAATGGACATTAAGCTCAGAAAGCCTCCGGCCCCCCCCCCCTTAGCGTCGATCCTCATTTCGATGCCAGAATGATTCAGCAATATTATACAACACTCACCACAACTTCAAGGACTTTAACAAGGAAAAAACGAACAACCAAAGCTTAGCGATTATAGTGTGGTAAATATAATGATCGTTGTTCGGGTCGCCTTTGAATGGGCTCATCAAAAATTTAGTAAATTCATGGTATCACTCAGCTGGCGGCCCGTGAGGTCCAGATATAGTGCAGAGGGGATGTCGACCGCCTCAACACCTTACTGGTCATCATACTGGTCATCATCAAGCAGGTTGGCGCTCAGTGGGGTGAGAAACCCCCAAGTCATCAGTCAGGCGGGTAGCATAATTTTCTAGTATTTCAAGCTCAAAGCACTCAGAACGCAGGGAGATGACTTCGATGATAAAGATAGACTATGGCAACTTCATCATCATCCCAAAGAGTCCGCTAAGATACTCTAAAGATGTTGAGCACAACGCCAATACATGGCAGCGCATGACACGGAGATACGTGAGTCAGACACGCCCAGAAAACACCTTGGAGTACTGAGAAGCACCCACGTTGCCACTTGATGCGTGCGTTTGCTTAGGGGCTGCCCGCTTGGCGGCCTGCCATGAATCGCGGTGAGACGGAGCCAGGAGGGGTGCGTGGAGGCGCCACGTGGTTGTATGACGGGAATATGCCCCGTGGGGCGTTACATGGCTGCTGACCGTAGGGAGTGGGGCTATTTGAAGGGAATATGGCTTTTGGGCCATTACATGGTGGCTGATCGCGGGCAGTGGGGTGTGCCGGGCTGAGTCGTGGTGAAACGACGGCTGTGGCAGAAAGATTCCGGGTACTAAAACAACATCTCTAAGGAATGGGGGGTATTTGCCAGAGCTGGGGGGTTTACAAGTAAGGGGGGCATGGAAAAAGCTACGGGGGCCTCTGTATTGTTGCACTCGGCCTGGCAGCTGTAAGAATGGTTGCGCGGCGTTCGCATGTACCACTCGCGGCGGTCTTGGCACTCAGCCTGGCTGCCTGACTCCCCTGGCCGTGTGCGCAACGTTCGCCACGGCCTGAGCGCATACCGCTCAACCTTTTTGAAGATCGCGTCCGCTCTGTGTCGTTTGTGAGCCGCTTTCCTTGCCGTCCAAGACCAGCACTGTCAGCACGGTTGTGCTGCTGGCCAAAAGTGGCCAACATTCATAGCTGCACAACCTCGTCGAGGCGGAAAGAAGCATCTTTCGTTCATTGCATCGCTGCACTGTAGACAAGGCTGCCCCGACCCGTGGGGATGACCTGCACCCTGACATCGTTGACCTTTAGGGAGTGGCTGCGACCAGTTGTGACGCTCTGGGGGGTAGTTGCGAGAGGCTCTGCAAGTGCGTTTGTATGCTTGACGGTGAGTCGGATGTTTGCCGCTCATCTAAAACTTCCCTTACCGTCGCTGCTATTTTTGGTCGTTGACATCGTCGTGACGAGCAGTTCTTTGTGAAGAGGCAGTTCTGCGAGGAGCAAAGCTTGTTCGTTGAGTGCACCCTCAACTGACGTGGTGCTGAGCTGTTGACGTGACTCAGCTGCCCTTTCAGGGGTGATTTGACAGCGCTGTCTCCGGGGTTGATGGCCAGAATGGACAGCCGTCCTTTACACCTTCTTCATCAAATAATGTATCTTGATGGCAGACGGGGCATCTGACTGAGACTGGTTCTGATGAGTAAACTAGTAAAAAGATAAAAAAAGGGAACGGTAGCGGAGTATGTCTGGAGCAAATAACAATGATATTGAGTTTGGTGTACGGTTTACTAAAATCGTCATGAAGAGTCACCAGGCGTCAGGGAATGATGAACCTATGTCAACTGCTTGAAATATGAAGGTCACTGAAAAGGTGTTGATGCGCAGTGTTGATGCGCAGCATTGACGCGACATGCACAAGAAAAGTTCGCCAGGAGAAATGCAGGACACCCAAGATGAGATGGTGGTTGCCAAACTTGAAATTGCAGCCAGGAGAAGGACACGAAAGCTCCGACTTGTCAACATCGGGAGAATACCGTTGCGGGCAAAACTAGTGAGAGTGGCTGGAATGTTGCTTGAATGAAATTGTGGAAAGTGTGTTGTAATGGCTTGATATGATCAGCAGAAATAATAGTGACAGAATGGGACATTTGGCCATGGGCTGTGTGCTAAAGGGGGAAAAAGGATCTCTTTGAGGTGAAAGAAAGCTTGGTTGGTCGTGAATTATGTGCATGACTGAGATCTGCTTGAGTTTGGTCTCGGCGAACAATGAAAGCATGTTGGGAGCAACGCAATCCATGGCAGGCTGTCCCAAAGACACGTCACATTTTTAAGCAGCCATAGGGCTGCAGCCCTTTGCAATGCGCAACGATCTCTGTCCAATTGTGGCAGGATAGGTCGTTGACTTTAACTTAAAAAGGGTATCCATCAGGATTCAATATAATCTGGATGTCTTCCATTAGTGCGGCATGTCAGTGTGACTAAAAAAAACACAGATGACCGCTAGGAGGTGGTTGAGTAGGGACAGACAGATACATGGCGTGGAATTGATTTACAACGATTTGCCATAATGAACAGCAATCTACATGGCCAAAATCAAAAATGCATAGCAGCAAGAGACAAATCTCAGCGTAGTATCATGTATAGTTCATTACAGTGGGGCCCAGTAAGTGGGCCCTCAGATGTTGCAGATGTTTAGTCCCTACGCTGTTTCACTGCTGCGGTTGGATGTTCATCTCCCAAATCTATAAGCGCCCTAAGTGTGGGACCAATTGAACGCCATGGTATGGAATACGTTGTCGGCAAAATGCAAGCATCATTACTGCCATGGGTCCATGATAATGCCTAGCAACGTCCATTTACATGAGTACAATGAAGCTTCAAGAGAAGCCATTATACCAACCAGGGACATGTGCCATGAGATGGCGGGCCCTGAACCTGTGACGGCCTCAAGGGATGTTAGAATTCATGGTGTGAAGGACGGCCAGGAGCAGTGCTGGATTGGAGGCCAGGGTCAGCGATGGCGGGCGCGATCGAGGCGCTGGCGCAGTGGTGGAGGCGTGGGGAAGCAGCCGAAGATGGAGTTAGGTGACCGCAGCTGGCGTGAAGCATGGCACACTCGCGATTGGACGGGAGGTTGCGCGGCAGAGTCGGGAGGACGTTGAAGCGGTCATGGATGGCGAGGGGCAGAGTCAGGGGTCGGGCGACGAGGGGTGGCACATTGTTTTAGATTCTCTTGGTATGCCTGATGTGGACGAGTAATAATTGTGGGGTATCATGCAGGAAGATGTGATTTAACATGCTTCAAAGTTGGATGACACAAACTGATCGTTTGCTTGACGAAGAGGTGACAAGTGGATCAGCGCTATAGATGGTTGCAATAACCATATGATTTGATTTGGCAAGCGAGAAGACGGGCGATCGGAGCATTGAATCAGAGCGGATGATTCACATGTCAAGCTGATGGTTGGTGGACTAGAATGTTGGAAGGGAATCGATCAAAATCAAGGAGGAGTGAGTGAGCGGTTCTTTGATTTGACCACGGCCTATTTATGGCGATGTGGCCGGTTGTTGGCCGTTGGACGATAGGATCAAGGGTGTTGCCGTATGAGCGCTGATGGGACAAGCAAAGTAGAATGTTGGGGATCAACGGATGATCCAGAATATTCGGGATTTGATTCTGAAATCTCCGAGGGGGGGCTGGGGTGGCGCTGGGTTATAAATAGCGGGGTTGTGCAATATTTGGACAAGCGGTTGGAGTTGGCTCTCAGCCAAAAGGCAAAGGGACCAAAGGGAAAACACACCCGACCTTGTTGTCAAGCAGTTTACAACTAGTGGAGGGTTGCTTTGTAATGGTAATTTGATTCCAATTCCCTGTGCGATACCCAAGGGTGACAATTGGTTATTACAGGTATGTGGTAAGACTTGTGGGGCCCCAAAATTGTATTAAGCACTGTAGTACATAACGCCTGCTCATTGGGGAAACCTACAGATCCCAAGACAGGTCTAACACTTAGCAAGAAAGCCTTCCGGGCCTCTGCTTTATCCTTAAAGTACGGAAGAGTGAATAGACCATTGGGATATTGGTGGTTGTATTCTGAAGTTGCGCATTGAGTGTGCATCCGTTGAGGGACACACAAAACGCTTTGAATTGAGGAAGGGCGTGCATTTAAATCCAGCAGGACCTCCAGGTAAGTGTCCTTGAAAATGTGAACTAGACTGGTGTCGTAGCCACAGCCATTATCGTTCAGCTTAAAAAGTATCATTGCCTCATTGAGGTCCAATGAGGTAAACAAAAAAAAAAGGACATTCAGGACTTATCAAAATTCATTAAAGGCTTGTTGCACATTTCTCTATGTCATCCTGAATCCCGACCACTATTGTGACTCGGAGAATGCGTTGGCCCAGGGAGGGCCACGGCAACTGTGCTGGTTCTAAGGGTGATACCCCTCCCCCTGAGGGCATAAAATCATAGTGTCCTCCAGCTCTTGTAAAGGCTGGCCTGCAAGAAAGCTCGCAGGGGGCTCATGGACAATTACTGACTCAGAATCAAGCCCGCCAGCTGCGAAAGAGCTAGAAAGCACTGTATGCAAAAAAAGTCATTGATAACTGAAGTTGTGCAGGGCGCACATAGAACTAGTAAGAACTGGACGTTAAACTATATGCTGATGATGTGCTGATATCCCTGGGTAATGTTCATAGTCCTGGAAACAGTACCAAGACTGGATAGGCTTGTGTATGAACACCAACTAACTGGTTCAGTTCTGGAATGCAGTTGGCGGTGCCCTGCTGTCAGGAGTCAGCAGTCAGCCGCTGACTTTGATCTATGTCAATTTGCTCGCCTACGGCACAATCTTGACAGCGAGAATTGCGAGATTTATGCAAAGAGAGTGTAGATTGAGCTGCTGCGCTTTGCGTTCATTGATGCGTGGAGAATCTCTGCAATTGGCCAGTTTGGCTCGAAAGGTCATCCGAGTAAGGGGCCAGTTGAGTCTCCTCTGGAATTCTGAGCGTGTAAGGCGCGGTAAGGCTAGGCAGTGTATTGCACCTGCCACGTCACAGCCTGTGACAGGAGTGATTGCTGGCCCGATCAGCAATCCCTGTCATTTCTAGTTAATTTGCTCCTTTTGTTAGGCCTTTCTATAGGCTGTATTGCGTCCCTTGGTTCTTGTGCTTTGGGATTTGGGTTGGACACATCTTGTGAAGAAACGCTGCAATTCTGACCGTGGCTCACCAGATCCATTAGGCAGCCACAATGAAGGTTAACGGACAAATGATTTGAAAAACGGGATGTTAAAGCCATGATAGGCAATGGGAGCAGCCCCAAAGGCTGCAAATTGACCCACTCTAACGACTTCCTCGAAGACTGAAACTTGAGAGAGGCTTTGGAACAATTCATGAGCTGTTTGCCGCTGACCAGCTTCATTGCTCTCCATCTTTGCACCTTATTTAAATTTTAGTGCATAATTTCATAGCGTCCGTGGCCTGGGACCCCCCACCCCCACCGCAAGCGCACAAAAATCAAATAGTGTATTCAGTTAGTCCTTTAGGCACCAGCCCCTTCTGCAATCACACCGGTTTGATACACGAGGCACCACTCCCATGTATTTGCGCAGTGGTGCGTGTACTGCAAATTCGCCATGCAACCATCCCTAAGTCTCCCATTCAGTTCTTGGCGCCTCCTCAAACTGCGAGCGACGTGCATATATCACCTCTCTTCATGACAGAAACTGAATTATCAATCGTCACCTAAAATGAGTTAAGTGACCTGTATATTAATCACTAGTAATTGTATTCAAGCACCCAAGATTACCAGACTGATGTTGGGACTATGCTGAGCACATTCCCAGCATCAAAATTATCCATTTTGGTAGTTGGCTCTCTTTCCCTAATTTTCTTTGGTGGGCGGGTGGAATTGTCATGCTGAAAGCTTGCATGATTTCCATGGCATTGACAAAGCCAAGAAGAACCCAACAGCACTGCTGATCAGTGGTGTACTAGCGATGACTTGTTCGAAAATTTCCCTCAAATGTTCCATCTTCATGGAAGCCGCCCCAAATATGAGAATTGACAGCCTCCAGGTCTGCCCCCACTTATACGCATCTCATTTTCAAAAATCCAATTGTTGCAATGCTGGTTGTTCACCTTCCTTCTTCCTTGAACGTACTCCCTCCTGTGCTTAAGTTTTGGGGCCGTTATTATGAAATCTTACCCTGTCATGTTCGCATCGACATAAGGACTGGCACTAAGTTGCGGTAGAGGGCTGGCGGCGGCCAGGCTTGGTGCTAATGTGGCGCTCACCAAATCGACGCGGTGTGGTCACCAACAGGACACGAATTGGTCCCCTTTGCATGGCTCACGTTGTACCCAGTAATTAACCAATGTTCTGACGAAAGCAGAAAATCTGTGAAGTGGACATTGCTTGGCGGTGCATGCTGGACCCAAGCAATACTCAGCTGGTCCCAGTGTAACGCAGCAGTCGACACAGCCCCTGACGTCAAGCTGGTGGATGCTTTGGATGGAGGCAGGCATGCAGCAGGCGAGGTCAGGAGACTGAGGGCCAAATGTTAGTCCTGTACTTGTGAATCAGAGAACGTTTATCCAATGGATACCACAGCCACAGCAGTCCGCGTCACTTGTGTTCCCACTATGGGAGGCCGCAGTTCAAACAAAAGGCCAACGTCTGGGTTTCGCCAACGCAGAAGCCCTTGATGCACCACGCCTGAAGCCAGTGGGCCTGCGCCAGGAGGCCCACGGAAGCCAATCAAGATGCATGCACACTCCTGCCCAGCACAGCTTCGACAGGGAATCAGGGTCTTCCTGCTCTCCTTGAGGCCCTCCCACGGCTCTGTTGCCGTAGTGCTTAAATACTTACAGTAGAGTGATACGAGCAAGCCGCTGCTTACACTTGTCCTCATCGAACGCACGTGGGGACGACCTTGAGGAGCGGCAAAGCAGTACGGCACTGCTCCCAACCCAGCAGGCAGCGGGCCATGATGCACACACATGCTCTAGCTGGGCGTGTCTACCAGCTCCGGCCACATTGAGCCCTATTGTTGCTCAGGAGTTCACGTCTTCGCTTGAAGTGCCCAGAATGTCTCCCATAACGTCAGCTGGAACGGTTTCCAAGAGTTTGTCCAGCGCCTGTAACGAGCTCGCCAGAGTGTCCCTGCATGTGGAATGGCACACCAAAGTGCGTGCAGGTCACACATGACCATATTCACTGCACAACCATCATCAACCATAGACACCAAAGTGAATTGGCAATCACCGTGCAGCCAGCGAATGCAAAACAGGATTCACTGCCTTTCGAATGGCATCTGCTGTGCAGCACCGTGTGCTGTTCATGGGCGGGTGATGGTAAAGCAACAAAGAGGACGTGATGTGGTTCCTGAACATCACCCTCTTTGGATCAGCCACTGTACCTACCCCACGCTAGTTTGTGGTACTTGATCCCTGCTTGTCAGCAACAGTGCCATATCATATTCCTCGAGAGCATGAATGACACCTGTCGCCAAAGCACTGCCTTCTGAAGATGTCTCCAATTGCTGCAGTCACAAGGACGAAAATCACGCTCCAAAATAACGCACTAATGAATCAGGAGATTGAAAGCTAATGGACTCTGGAGTGCCACCTGTAGACCATGCTCCAGGGCTGATTTTGGCTGGTTGATGCAGAGACAATGAATGACCAACTTGAGTGCAGCAGAGCTGTATGGCACCTTCGTACAGGTGGTTGCACAGAGAGATGGGCTGCTCTTCAGTCACCATTTGTTGCTTTCTATGTGGCTCGGTCAAAAATATCACTGCAAGTCGGTTGCCAACTGTGCAGATGCAACTTCACTGCCACGTCATTATGTGTGAATTCTAGCAGTTTTCAGCTCAGCTGTCGTCACAAACCACCCAAATGAAAAGTTAGTACTCTCCGAAGGGATGCTGGCAGCTTAAGGCGCTCTCGATCCAGGAGGGCCTGGATGGCACGTCTGCACACATTCAACACACTTCAACCCATAGTTCTGTTCTCAACATTGCACAATTCTCTTCCACACCCACACTACGGAAGCAAGTTGCACAACATCTGCGCACAACTTCTCCACCAGTTTCCAAAGGTCCTCAAGTGCTCAAGACAAAGACACTCTATGTGCCGCACCTCGGCATACACTCCCGTTGCCCTGACATTTGTCCGCAGTCCTGACAGAGCTCCTACATGAGTCACAGCATCCCCATAATTTGCTGCATCTTTCCACAGGTAATGAAAGCCCTCTTTGAAACAGCAAGACACGAGATGCTCGACAGGCACAGCCTGTCCCTTCTCTTTCTTGGAGAAGGATGTCTTTCACTTCTGTGCATATGGCACGAAAGGAGGCAAGCTGCATTCCATAGTTTCCAATGGACTCTGGATTCCCCAGACAAAACAGTATTACAGGGGAGTACTGTGGCTGAAGCACTGTTGCCAAATGCAGGTAGGGCACAGCACACATTGCTGACATCTTTGGAGCCCACATTAAGGTACAACATCTGTAGCAGACAATCAGACAACCAGTCCCACCTGATCTCAGCATTCTCCTGGCCTCGTTTACATCTAGGGCTGCACACACACCACAGCTGGTACTCACAACCATCTCACATCTGGTGCACAGCTCTAAATGTTACCCACGTTGTTTGGCAATTTAACCCCCCACCCCTTCCTTGGGTCCCACGGCATATGCACAGAAGGTGCCTGTGAACTGGTCAGCTCCATGCAAAATTGCCCTGTAGGTTGTGTTGCCCAAGCTGTGCCCATTGAGAACAAGGGCAAGGGCACAAAAGATAAATAATGGCGTGTCAAAAGAAATGTAGAGGACGATCGGAAACAACGAAATTTCAAAATCCTGAGGAGTTGAAGATACTACAGTATCTGGGACGTGGTATTCAACATCCTGCAAGCTTTCAAGCGCACTCTCTTCTACCTCCCCTGTCGTCCTTGCATCGAATTACAGAGTAACCACGCACAGGCCCACCGCCAGTGAGCACACCACAGCAACAACACTTCCTTCTGCAGTATCGCCATAAGGTTGCGCCTTCAACAAGGCCCAATGTGCAACAAACCACCCAGGCTGTAGCGCTCAGAGTTTTTTCTTTTTTGGGCACATGCATGACCATCGCTCACCACTTATTTCTCCTGAGCGGATCAATTCTTGCTTTGCAGCCAACAATGGGGCAACATAGGTGTCTAGGGGGTCCAGTTCCTTCTGCTTGATGTATGCCCTGAATCCTCGGCTTGATTCCTGCAAACCAGCATATACAAAATGCACATCAGCATTCATGCCATTCCTTCAAGCAGTAAATGATCGGCTCTGAGGAGTTTATTTGGGTGCTTGACCATATCATCTGTGCAGCAGATGCCCAACACCACCTGCTGCAGACTAAGACACTTACAGCCAGGCTTGGAGGACCATTTGCAAAGGTGAATAGGCAGGTGCCAACCCCAACAGCAAGGACACGCCGTCTGCCCACATCAATGTCGCTGGCACCTTGGATCCTTGTCTTTTCCTGTTCACAACCACCACATTTACTGTCACAGCTTCTCCAATCAAGCACACAGACAATGTGACAATTGCTAAAGTGCAGTTCCTGTGGCACAGCTGTGAGGATACAGTGAATTCCTGTATTGGTGCCAAGTGTTGTAATGGTACCAACGCTTGGGAACCTTTGTAACACCACAGGGATTGCCGCTAAAGGGTGGTTGTGCATCTTGGCTCCCCATCATGTAAAGGTACACTAGGCACGATACATGTGTGCACTGATGGCATGCTTCATGAGCTTGCAAAAGCATACGGTGAAGTGAAGTTGCCACATTCAAAATTGTCAGTACACAACAATTGTAGTGGTCAGAACAATAAGGGTGACAACTAAAACTTGTAGAAATACCAGATAACGCAAACGAGACAGATCTACAGGCATATGCCGAGTGCCACAAGCCAGACTGAACAGCATCAATTGTAAACATTTCACAACATGGTGTTAATTCATGTTGTATCCATGTTGACTGTCCACACCCCTGCCAGCCATTGCCTGCGCAGTGACTTACTGCCCATATAGCCTGTTGGTCTCCATGTGCTGCTTCACAGGGGTATTAAAGATGACTCTTAGTCCAGCACCCTTCATAAAATCCCCAGGTAGGTATCACAACATTGTCAATGTGAGATTTTGTTGAATCACATACAAATAGCAACCAATCTGAATTGCTCTGCTGATTTCTTGTGATTCACGGGTGTACAACTCAAGTTGACCCTAATTGCAACAAACAGCTGGTTTGCCGGACTTGCATTGGGCATTGGACAACATAATCCAAATACAAAAAATTGCTACAGCTCAGTTCAAGTCATTCTGCAAGCTGAAATGATGTGAATGTGCGCCATATCGCACAGAGCGAGTGAACGCCAGTAAAGGAAACTGAAAGTGCAGGATTGGGTTGCAACATAGCCGCAACCAGATGTCAATGTCGCCAGGCACAGCACCAACCATTGTACAATTGCCAACAGTTGACCTGTCTAACTGTTTGCGCCAAAGACTTGCACACCACCCATTCCATCTCATAAATCGCCAATCGTCTACAACAACAAAATTAGCACAACAGCCTCATACCCAAATTGTTGACATGCAATTGCGCACTGACAGGCGAAAGTACCAAGCTTCTCACTTCAGAGTGCTTTCCAAATATAAAATTTGGCCGCTTGGCCATCCTTTCGAGCTGCACTGCAGCCAGCGCGAGCCCACGAAACAACGATCAACTAAAAAATGTTGTCATACACACTCCCAATGGATCGCCAAAGAAATGGTTGGTCCTGGTGCCTGTTCCGTTCCGTCTCTCTCAGCAACTTGCACTGGGTTCTATGGTGAATGTTTCACGCTGCTGCAAAGCTGCGCCTCCAGCACCTTCCAATAACTACGCGCTCGCCTCTTTTCACGGTGCCCCCAGAACTGCCGGCGCGTGTGTGCGCATTCAGGATTGATTTGCGGTGTTGAGCAGTGCGGGGATACGGGCTCTCAAGGAATGAATGCAGCAGGCGATTTAGTTTAGTTGCCAATGTTGGCGTATTGGCTGCGCAGCTTCTGGCGCATAACGGGTTGGAGCGAGATCTCACCTCCTGCTCGGGCTCAGGGTCGTGAGTCTTGGTTGACAATTTTCCCAGATTCATTTGCCATGTGAGATAACAGCACCGTCAGCTTAGGGAAGAAGCTATTTTGAATTTTGAGCGCTTAGAGTCAAATGGACGTTAAGGGGTGGGTGGAGGGGTGGGGGGTCCAGCCAGTGACTCTAAAAGGATATGTAATTGCACTAAAATCAAAAAACGGGATGGGAAATTGCACAAAAAGCCACTGATCAGTGGCAGATAGCTCATGGTTTGTTGCGAAACATCCCTCAAGCTTTCGATCTTTGAAGAAGCCCCTAGAATAGATCAATTTTCAGGCTTTGGGGCTGCTCCCATCGCCTATCATGGCTTTTGGCGTCCCATTTTTCAAATCACTGCAATCGCTAAACTTTGTCTCTTTCTTAAAACTAAATTGAATTTGCATGGCATTTGTGGGTAATGTTTCTGAGCCACCCCAGCATCGAAATAAGGATTGACGCGAAGGAGGTGGGAGAGGGTCCTGAGATTAACATCACATTGACGCTGTGCGTCCAAAATTCAAAATAGTCTCTTCCTTTAGTAAACGATGAGTTACCAGCTGCAAATGGTGCTGCATGCAAATTGCCCAAATCATATCAAAAGTTCAGCGGCGCAATATCTTTGTGGAGCCGTCTTGAGGAGAGTCTGTTGAATGTATCCGGTCGTTTTATCTATGAGAGGATCGAATCCCTCCACTGCTTTGTCGCTCTTAACCATCTTCAGCTCTTCAGGGTTGGTGAAATTCTACTCTGGAATCCAGAAGGCGTCATCTACGGATCGATGGATCCACAACACCAGAGAATCCTATTCCCTCCTGGAACAAGGGACTTGTTGGGATCAATTGGGATCAGGTGATAGTAAAGATGTTTAAAGGCATGTGACCGAGGTTTGTGCAGCGTCGCAAGGTTGTGTGACCCAAAATTCAGCGCGGAACTGCGGAACAAACACGGGTCCATCAAGCTCGCACAGGTCGCAGCGTGTAGCCGACCACTGTGGTGAGAAAACTAGCCATGGGAACCGCTTTGGCGATTCATGAGCCACATTGGCTGTTTGTGTACGCAGCTGAATAGCGAGTTAGTCTGTTGCTTGCAGCGGAAGCATACCAGAACGCGGTGGATTGTCTGTGCCTGGGAGGATACTTGCGATCCAGGAGTTGCGTGAAATCTCAACGGCTGCGATCCATCTTGTTTTGCTTGACGACCTGAGTTGGAGTCCACCCAGGACACACCGCAGCCAAAGGCTGACTGCGTTGTTTCTGTCGTGCATCGGACAGGTCTAATGTGAGGAAGCCGTTCCCATGGCAGAAGATGACACCATTCCCAAACTGGGAAGCTATGGATCTCTTCGACAGATTCCGAATCGCACTATGGATACAAGTACAGCACCGACGAAGTTCTTGCGTTGGATGACAACGGTTCCCAAAGATTGCCGTCAGGGATGCTTATTTACAAATCGGCCAATTTCGTACCGTTTCTCAGGCATTTTCAATACTGAGGAAATGTTGGATCAACTTCAGCCCAGCCTGCGAGACCCCCAACCATGTCTCTTGCTGAGATCCCCGCACTCCTAAGTTTCTGGACTACCAGCTGGGAGTCGTTGCCCCTTCGGCACACGACCACAACCCCGCCTCCATCGGACTGTCGATCACTCGCGTCTATCGCACCCCCATCCACTGTTCCCAGAGATGCTACACCAGTGCAGCACTTGCTCAGCAAGTTGGGGAAGTCAGCATCTAGTTGGTCATATGGGAAGTTGAGGGCTCCGTTAAGATGGCCAATGTCAAACTCCCCCTGAGGGCGAACGTCCACGAGAAGCAGTTCCTGGCCTTCCTCCCTGCTGCGATTGATCACTTCGTTCACCTCGACGGGTGGAAGTCTGGCACTTGCTGGCAAGCTTGTCGAGCACACGATCGGACTGTCATCAAACGTCTGACCAGTGAATGCACTGTAATCGTATCGCTCCAGGGTTGAAAGTGTGACCGATGGGGAATCCCCACAGGCCTCGCAAGTGGGCACCTTTGCCCTTAGCTTCACTGTGTGAAAGCGGGCGCACAGAAAATCCATGATGAGGAGCCTCCGGCTCAGCACATCTCCAACCTGTGTGCACAAGCATGTACTCATTGTGCTGGCGGCTGTCCTGACAGTGGCCTTCTAACAGAAGCACTGTGGCAGTTGCACAAGCGCCCACGATTTTTCAGCACACAAGTGCGATATTGCAAGATGGCAAAGATCGATTGTGAAGATCTGCTAAAAATTCAGTTGCGGACGACCACAAGCATTGTGCATCATGGCAGCTGGCGATCAAAAGATGCAAACCTCGATTTCAAACTATTCGGAGAACACTCCACTCTGCACACCTGTGCAATTATCTTGACTGTCTCCATCGCTTCAAGGACGCCAATTACGCCTGGCACTGGCCCAAGTACCCCATTGTCTGAACAACGGGTACAGTGTCCTGGGGCTGGTGCCTTTGGGAACAAGCACCGATAACATGGGCCTGTGTAGAGCAATGCAATGTAAGTTTGCATCCAGCTACGGTCAATTGTGGTAAAACTAAATACAGATGCATGTACTCACAGCTATTTCTAAAGCTGCATTTCCTTCTAAGCGATGTCAAATGTGCACACAGTCTGTGGGGACCCGCCAGACACAAAACAGGAGAACTTCAAAGACCTCAGCCATGAATCACATGAAGAGGCACAGTTTCCCAGGTGACACACACATATTGGAATATGCATGTAGCAATCGACAATGTTTATTGAAGCATGCTTGCTTCAATTCCATATTGTGTCAGCCATGGCAATCAAGTGCACAAACTGATGATATGCACAATGCAGTGGCAAATTTGCTTTGCTAATCTTGGCAATATCCCAGCATGTCCCAAGCTGCAAGCCTGATGACATCCTGCAATTGGATGTGCTAAAATTGCTCAATCGTGAATCAGGTGCCACAGGCAGTATTGGCGATCAAGTTTGCTGTCCAGTGGTGCCACAATCAACCAATACTCAAATGGATGTCATTGGAAAGGACACACTGCATAGCCCTCCAAAATCTAGAACACCTCTTCCATTGTTCGCTGCGCTACCTACCATCCATGCCATAGGCATACACTGTCAGCTGGCCCTCTGTTCCAATGGCAGCGCCTGATACCAATGGTGTCTTTGTGATGACACAAGCATCACTGCATAAAATCAACATGATCAGTGCCACCTGAACATCTGTGCAGCAAAACTCGAAAGGGACTTTCTGATGCACATCTTGCAAGGGAGGCCAGCTCCAGAGCACTGTTGACATCTCAAGCAATAGCAGACATATTAGTTCACTAACTTAATAACAGTGCATATTCCGCACTGTTGTGTCAAGCAAAAGCAACCAATAGCTGGCTACACAAGCATCAATGCTTAAACTTCCAACCGCAAGGTCCTTGCAAGTATTGGACACACACAATCGTCTTCCACCTTACTAGGTATCTTGTTGGCACATTGTCAGATGCATCAACCACCACATCATAGTTCTGCACCAGAGGTAGTGCAGTTGCTGGTGTGAGCCCCTCTGTGTGAACATCGACCTGTTGCAACACAGCAACTTCACATGCTTATTGGTGACCTTCTCAAGACCTGGAGCTCGTTGATCAACTTTTTGTGGAGAAGTGAAGCAATGGCAAGAGCAAGGAGAGAGCAAGCATGGAGCACTGACATACTTAACACACAACAGAAGACAAATCTAAGGCAGCAGCACCCAACACACTTTCTTGCTATTTGTGCTCATCTGTGTAGCATATGCTCTCCCTGTACCACTGGGAGACATCTGCATCGACTTCTGCAACATGGAGAAGAGTCTCACAAAACTCTTGGACGGTGGGAAGCCTTAACAAGACAAGTTTCCTTCTGCCTAAAACAAAGTGCAAAACACCCAAAGTGCAAGCAGTGATGGAAGACAACTGCACATTGACAACGTACCTGGATGGAAGAGTTCCTCTCTCTGCAGGCCATGGCAGCAGACACAGCTTTGTGGATGCCCACAGTGGACTCCCTGCAAAAGACCATGCAACACTCACTGCAATTAGCACAGGTAGCATCCGCAACTTGAACAGAGGAGGCACCACACGCCATAGCACGTGGCAGTCACCACGGGAGGTGAAGTACAGGCACGGTCAAGCCGCACACATGATAGCAGTGGCGGCATTGATTCCTGTGGTCGCTCTTGCCCGGGAATTTTACCTTGACAACCACACGTGAGTGAGTCAAATTCTTGTGTGTTGTGACTTGTAAGCAACATGTCCGCCAAAATTTTGGCCCAGCACGTCAGCGAGACAGCCTCAGACAACCAACACGGCACATCGACGGGAAAGACCGGCAAAGGTAAAGTATCGCAGCAATACCTGTGAATGATCTGTCGATGAAGGTTGTCCAACTGCACGACGTCTTTGTCCACAATTCCCAGGCGCCCCACCCCCGCACACGCCAGGTACAGCGCCGCAGACGACCCAAGGCCCCCGGCACCAACCACAAGCACAGAAGCCTCGCACAAACGGGACTGGCCTGCCAACGAGAACACCATCCCATGACTCAATAATGAACAAGTTACGGTGGCTGAATGCCCAGCAGCAGCGAACACTGCTCTGAGAGCCCGGCCTGGGAGATGCCCACCTTGAACACCAATATTTGGGAGGATCAGATGCCTGCTGTAGCGCTGCACCTGCTGTGGATTGAGACAATGACCGCACGACCAGCCCACAGTTTCGGGCACGGTCGGCTGGGCTTCCCGCTGTTTCAGCCTCTCCCGCAAGGCTGCCACCTGCTGCCGAAGGTCTTCATTTTCGGCCCGTAGGCTGGCGACCGCATCCATGCTTGGCGCCAAGTGCCGCCAACAGCAGGCTGGGGGTCCCAAGGTGGCCCTTCCGACGCTTGTGGGCCCTGGGGCCCATCTGTGGCCCGGGGCATTGACCCACTATCCACCAGGTTTAGGGCCAATTGGCAGGGGCAGGTGTCTGCACAATCATAGTGCGTGCTGCTCCCCCTGAATCATATGCTGGCGGGCACTGGCAATGGCGCTGGTGTGGCTCATTGGCGGGTTGGGGGATGCTGAAATTCGCCGGACAAGAACCAGGTGCGTCGAAGGCTTCCCAGTAGACACTCGGAACTGTGCACCTTCTGACCGCCGGAATACAGACAATGCAGCACTTTCGTGCAGCGCAACTACAGAACGCACTTGATTCAATCTCTGCCGCGCAAGGCAGATGATCAGCTCCCAGGCTAAGGGGTCGCCTGACGCAAGGAAGGCTCGCTTTGTTGTGAAGCGTACTGAATTTGTCAACATGGCTCTTCACTTTGGCCGCAGATACATATTCGCCTCTGGCGGTGCTAAACTGCATTTAAGTTCAGTACGCGTCGCTGTGCATTTGCTCGCGACAAGGCTGCGATTCCCTGCTAATCACAGGCTGCTCGCTGCAGACTGGGCTTTTCCATGATACCCGCTCAAAAATTATGACGGAGAAACTCTTTCTGGGATAATCCCCACAGCTTTTGCGACAACTAAACTTTATGCAACTAACCTTGATCGCCATGGGGAAAATATTCAGGTGTCGACGCTCATGTGGCTTCGTTGGATTGGAGTCCTCATCACAACCTCGGCGTTAACCGAGAGCTATGACTCACCATGGCAAGGGTAGGGGCGCGTGAATTGTGGCAAGTGCATTCATTTGCTTGTGAACAGAGCTGCGAAGGTGCATCAACTTTTTCCAGCATGTACTGCACAGCTGCGCATTTGAGCTGACTTATTGTACAGCGTGGTCTTTGTTGTCTCTCCCATCCAGTGCACCCCTGGAAGATTTTTCCTCCCTTACACATATCGCGCGGAAGCATATCACTGATATATCACTCGTATGTGCTGCCGGAACTCAATCAAATGAGGAGATTCCTCGCCGCATTGTTTCTTGCGAGTTTCACGTTGATCAGAGATTGATTGATGCGGTCTGTGCGGCGAGTATATTCCTCGATCAGGCCAATGCCAATTATACCCGTTGTTTGCGCAACAGTTTCCTACGCACCAAATGACTGCAACCTCAGGATTGTGTGAAATTTCGTTTCTCCCCTCTGCACCCATCATCCACGTTTCCTATGAAAGGCTGGAACTATGGAGATCGCGAGTATACAGCTTCAATATTGTTTAGCGTCCATCCTCGGCAGGTAGCAGTTTGGCCGAGCCGCGAGCTGCTGGAGTGTCGGTTCTGAGAAACATGCAATGATGGAGAGAGCTGTGTGCTACCGACGTTTGTGAAGCCATCAATTTCGTGGAACTCTGAGAGGCTTCTTCGAAATGGATGAAACGTGTCAGGAGCAAGCTGCTGATACCGCAGCCCCTCTGGAAGAGCAAAGTGGGCCACCCGAGGAAAGGAGTTTGAAGAAGACGAGCAGATGGTCGAAACTGCGGGCGAAACAATTCGCCGCGCGATTCTTGTCAATTGCACGAAGGGACCCCATAACGTTGGAAAAGATGCTCACAGCAGGATCTGGTAGGCCACTGGTTGTTCCCGACAAAATCGATGGCATCGACTTTTGGGAGCCAATCAGGGGTGACATGCGGCAGTGCCAACTGTGGATACAGCGCCACTGTGGCGATGTCGAGGAGGGCGTCGCAAGAACTGAAGGTGCGAGCGTGCAGTCTGGTGTGAAATTTCGGTCGTGCTCCGCCGGCGTGGATCACGGTGCTGCCACAGACGCGACTGGAAGGTTGTACGCCTGGGGTTCGTGCATGAGACGCACCGCGTCTTTGGAGGAGCAATTTCGGCAAGGCGAAGTGCCGCCCGCAATGGCACGAATACCCAATTGTGATGGCACAGGTGGGACTGAAGTTTCGCATCTCTGCCGCACGGAATCGGCACGTTTGCGTTTGATTCCGCTCGGATTCCGTGTGAGATTTGTTGCGTGTGGGAAAAGCCACGCTATGGGAGTAATGGAAGGGTGCGGGGCCGTGTCGTGGGGGGACAACTGGCGGAGCCAGCTCGGAATTTCCGGTGTGGAGTCATCAGCAGTGCCCATGGTTATTCCCGCGCTTAGGGAATCCCAAGTGTTCTGGGCATCGGCCGGAGCCTACCACAGTGCGGTGGTTCAGAGCGACGGCAGCACGTGGACCTGGGGCTACGGTCGATTTGGAAGGCTGGGACACGGCGATGAAGCAGATCGATCGGAGCCCAGTGTGGCGGGCCACCTGAAATATGTCATCATGACCAAGGTGCAATTCTCGACCGCTCTTTAGCAAATGAAAATTTTTGCAGTGCGGAGAAAACCGTCTATCCATTATTCCATGTTTCTCATGATTCCACGCCAACTGGGAGCAACTTGTAACTGGGGTGTAGCCGAAGGAGCATGAGAAGTACCACCGCATGCCGCGCGCTCAGATGGAATCGTATTTCGAACGATGGAGTAGACCTGCTAATTTATTCTGCAATGTTACCTGCAAAGTGAGCTGCAACGGGAATTCCCCACACATAACTGCTACGAGGTGCAATTGACATGATAATATTAACAATCATGAGCGTTTTCGTTTGGCGATAGCATTTCCATGCTGAACACAGTAGAATGGCAAACCTGTTCGTGGAGCGTCTTTCACACAATGTGTGTCGTTATTTTTTGGCGCATCTGCGGCGCTGTACACCACGCATATTTAGCACAACCCAAAGTGCATCGATACAGTTTTCAAGGTCAAGCGACAAAAACTGGCATCGCGCGCAGATCAGGATTCACCAGTGCAGCAAACGTCCAGATCCATTTCTCCATTGAAGCAATCTCCCCTTCTCTGCAAAATGTTGCAATTTCTTCCTTGCGTCAGGTCGCCTGCGGGCAGTCCCACACCCTGGGCCTCACCACAGACGGCCGTGTATGCAGCTGGGGTTACGGAGGCAATGGAGCTCTGGGCCATGGGGACTGTCGAGACAGACTGACGCCATCGCAAGTAGACATGCCGGGGAGGGTCGCCGACATAGCCGCATCAAGCGTGTCCATGGCCGTCATGTCGAACGGGAGGCTATTTGTCTGGGGAAGGAACAAATGGATTGGGCATTCTAAATCTCATGGAGCAGTTGCAGATGCCGCCCTGCCGATGGCAGTCCCGTATTTCCCCAACCAGGAGGTGAACCAAACTTTCGAGACTGTGTTATTTTTCTGTGTCAAGAACAAAGCGGCAGAAATGCGACAATTTTGAATGGCCGTCCATTGACGCCACACAGAAAACCAAGCGGTACATCAGACATTGGAGCCGTTTTGATTAAGTTAAGCCGTTTTTGACAAATTAATTTGGTCATAAGAAAAAGTTTCTGCAGCTGCTACAACACCGTACCCATGGAGTTATGGGTCAATCGTGGTCACTTTAGTTACGTCTACTTCCTCTGCCATATATCTCTTTCTACCTCACATCATGTAATACATAATATCTGCTGCATCAAGCAATATCAACCTGCCGAACGATCACGCAAAGGCTCAGGAGACATGGTGTAATGGGCTCCATATGGCTGTAATTGTAGGCCCTGATGCATGAGGATCTACAGCACATCAGTTTTAATGCACACCGTGAAATTATCGTCAACGTCAGATAACCACGACGTCACCATAAGTACATTGCATATTTCATCTGTATTTTATGGCATTGTACGGTATTTGTGGAACAGCTATCATCTGGCCATGCGCCTTGCATGAACTCTCAAGCGCTAGTAAACAGTCGCTATCACTTGCTCCTCTCAGAATTTTGTCGCTCGTACTTCTGATGGCACTTCGTACTGCCAACCTTTTACCATGGCATGCTACCCTGCATCCCTGGTGCTTGCGGTGACTCGAATTCGCTCTAACGCGGTAGATGACTCTATAAGGGCAAGACATGAAAATAGGAAATTCCTTACATTGCGGCGCCCCGTTGGGTGTTCATCCCCTGCCATGATGCTTCATCCTGCGATACTGAGAGGGGGTTGGTCCTATTCTTGCTGGTACTGAAGTTCATTTTTATTGCACGCGTTTCCACGGTACAGCTCAGGACCCCTCTCTTGCGCCAAATCATAATTGCAAGGCAGATCGTCTGTCCCAGAAAACTGCCATTCCTTACATTATGTACTTCGTTTGCGAAACCATATGTCTCACTTTCTTGGCCCGATCTCCTTTCTACCCACTGCTCTGCTCACTGTAAGTAATACAAAGCAACTCAGCAATTCTTAGAAGGTTGGAAGGGGTCAAGGCAAGAAGGCGAGAAGGGTCGATAACACTCTCAATGGTGTATATTATGATGTACACTTTGTTTCAAATGTGCAACTACTTGTGAGTCTGCCAGCTTTATTCAGGAAATTGTTGCATTTAATTGACAAACATGTCCATGACACGGGGCATGATATGAGATTTCAATATTCTATGAAATATCCACGTTATGAGGACTCTATCAGCGCTGCGCAAACGCTCTTTGTACTTTATTTTATCCTGATATTCTCTCCGTGCAACGGATGTATTTGTGCGTCAAGAATCACCCCATGTCTATGAAATATCAAATGAACATTACACATGCTAGGTTGGAGCATTGTGCCCTCCATCGATACTGGATAGCTCGATACTGATACCAGCTTTGAAATCTCTACCGTGTTTTGAGGTTGGTGTGTCCCGTGTAAGGAGAGTATATTTTGATACACAAATGAGACGTATGTTGGATTTGCTGGTCAACAAGGGGATCCACCGCTCTTCTTGTACACGGCGGATGTTCTGAATGCATTTCCTGCCATTATGTCCTGTTGTTTTTAAACCTTTTAACTGTGTGCCTGACCTATATCCACCAAATTTCTCCATAAATCCCTATGTATTTTGAATACTTTTAGGCTACATACTTCTGCGGGTGTATCCACAGATTGAACAAGCCTCATGTGGATTGGATCATGCTGCAGTTGTGACTAAAGAAAAGCGTCTCATTATTTGGGGCAGTCCCAAGAAGCTCATATCTCAGGAACGACCAGTGATTCTGCCCTCCTCAAAGATCAGTGATAGCAATTTGGATATAACACGCGGTGTAGGAAGCCAACCGGAGGCCAAATCGATGATGCAGCAAAACATATCGAATATTTCATGCGGGGAGAGCGAGACGGTGGCGATATGTGAAGAAAGTGTCTTATCTCCATCACCAGATGCTATTTATAGACGGATGGATTGCATTTTTCAGCTACTCGTCAACGAGTATCAGTCTCGCTCTCCAGGGAAACAAACTGCAGATTGTAGAGATTTACAAAAAGGTGGTGGCAAGGCTGCAAAGACAATGGACTTGCGATCATGTGTCGCCATATGTCGCGAATTTGGATTTATTGACAACAAAACAAGCCACACAGACGTCATAAATCTGTTTGAGAGGTCTTGTACAGAATTTCCAAAAGAAAAGGACGGAGTTTCTGCTGCTAAAGTAGTTAAAAGTGCCCTCTGTGAGATAGAACCTGGAAGGATTTCTTTCCATGCATTCGTGGACCTTCTTATGCAACTTCAGAAACTCAGGTGCTTCGAAGAGAGCCTTGGGAATAATGCACTTCTTCAATCTCTTTGCCGTCGCCACGTAACAAAATTATTGTTGAGACCTACGGACGGCATCCGATGGGCTCTACGTCAGTGCCTTATGCCTGAATTGCTACAGGTGAGCAGTTGTGCTTTCTTGGTGGTTTGATTCAATTGTAGAGATTCAAAGATTATCATGTATCACTTCATAGCTGATCCATACTAAGATTTGTTATTTCCAGCCTGCGCTACTGGGCCATTGTTGTGATGGCGTCTGTGGTTGTCAAAACAAAATTTAATCCCCCAAGTATGCTTATCGAAGGCTTCATTTTTAATTTGCTTACAAATCTTAATATGATCAGTGTTTCAAGAGTTTTCTTTGCGTCATTTCATTCATTGGTTAGAACATTGGATTTTCTCTTGCTCTTCTTATTGTTAATTGTATCAGAAATGGGGTTCCAAATACGACTGAATTTGTAAAAATTTCAGAAAATCAATATTTCTCAAGGACTAGAGAAAGACTGCGACAACAATGACTTATGATGAATGCCTGAAGTATGATTTAATTATTGAAACTTTGGAAACATTCAGCTGGTTTGATGCACAGGACTTGGACTCTCCATCTAGTACAGAGATTTTGCACCAGACTTACGCGTACCTAACTGGAGGCGAGGAGAGAGAGTTGGATGACCTGAAGCTTAACCTGCGAAACATAAACGAGGGTATTCGAGAGTGCCCCCAGGAGTTTGTGGCGACCTTAGAGCACGTCGTCTCATTTCTTTTTGAAGCTGGAATTATTCCTGCAGTCCTAGTGGAATCCGTGTCCAAGAAACAACAGGTGCAGAAATGCGATCACCTCATACAAATGAATATAATTTGATTCTTCTGATTGATAACACTCCTTCTGGGTAGCTGATTCTTTATGCCCACGATTGGTTGTTTCTTCTGAATTTTTGCCAATGCTTGTCCAATATTGTGATCGGCGATACTTATCATTGAATCCCCACATATTCTTTGTCCCACTTTCAAAGGGGGGAAGTCTTTTGCATTTCGTGATTTGGGCCACGTGTTCACTGTATCAGGAAGTTGAAAAGAGATTTGGAAGACTGACGGCTGCTCAAAATGAAACACCCTACTGGTGGTTGGACATGGGTCTCGAGAGAGACTATTGGCAGCAAGCGAAGCGGGAGGACGCTGCGACCCGTGCACAAAAACTAAGAAATTTCTTCGTGGGGAAGCTCCTGGCACTAGCTTTCGGATCCTACCCAGGATTAGCGGCCAACAACGACCAAGGCGTTGATCGCTTGAACGGAGTGACGTACCCATGCTTTACAGAGATTATCGCTCTATGCATTGTCATAAAACGAGCAAATCCAACAGACGGAGCTCTTCAGGATATGGTTTATGACCACGGTAAAAACCGAATCAATCCAAAATGTTCGACTTGAAACTATCAAATTAAGTTTGATACGCAATGCAGATTAACCCTTCTTCTGCCGGATCACAATGAATTTGTCCCTGAACCTTCTATTGCAGGAGGATTTTTTTTACTTACACAGGTTATATGTTTCACACAGGAACCGTGTGAAAAGTCACGCTTTGCGGGCAAATTTCTGTAATATAATCCCCAGCACCTTCCAATCAGAAGTTTAAATAGTAGCATGCGCACTTCAGATCTGCTTGATGCAAATACTGGTAGTTGGCCGCGAATTTCAGCGTGATACTATAGTGTCGGCAGAATGGATTCTCTTTCTAAGAAAGCCAGCCGCGGTTCGAAGACTGACCGACACAGACACCAATTAGCTGTCCCATGGATGGAGAGAGCACGGGTTATTGGCATCTTTCTCTCGCAGATCGGGAAGGCAAAGGGTTGAATGCATTATTAATCCGGGTTTGCAGTCATTTCATCACATCTGTTTCAGGCTTAGACAATTTAATCGCACGTTTTGAGTCGTTTACCCTTTTGGCGTAATGATGATCAGCTCATATGTAGCGACTATATGCCAGAAACGCGGCAACTTTAACACACTGTTCGAACTTTAATAAATGCAATAGATATTCATACTTCACATTTCTCGCTGCACGAAGCTATGCGAAGTGATGTAGAAGTGGTTCATCGGAAGATCGTTCGGTGGCGCGAGCGCACACTGAAGCCGTGGAAATTCTCCAAGCGCCAGCGAACGGACGTGCAACTGGAGGCGGAGGTAGACAAAATATTCGCTCTCTACTACACCCTGCACCCCATGTCTACCATCCTTGCGGTCGACGGGCAAATGTTCCGCAAATTTGTGAAAGACTGCAGAATATTGGACAACAGGTGATGCGGCGGTCGGAAACGCAACACGACATCTGACAAAATGCCCTTGCTCTGATGCGCACAGCGAAATTTTCTCCTTGCAACATGCGCAGATCACTAGGGAAAAAAGGGCCAAATAACACGTGTTCAAACGTGTACAAAGTTTACGGGTTTGTGTTATTTTTGTGTTCTTAGCGTGCAGAACGTTGATGAAATGTGTTTTATGTGTGTTCGCAAAAGTGCTATTTGGCCCTTTTTTCCCTAGTGGATAAACCACTGCAACAATGGCACCACATGTGCGCCGCAGCTGATAAATGGACACCGCACTCAATGCGCCATGTGTTCGCGAGCACTGTGCCTTTTGGTATGGATTCAGCAGATGAACACAATGGGTTGGACACACAGATGCACCTGGCTCAGGATTGAGGAGCTTTTCCAGCAAGCCATTGTGCGGGGGCCTAACAGGACTCTCTCTTCAACGAGTTCGGACAACCAGGCCTTGAAAACACACGTTTCAATGGGGCTTGGAGCATTCCTTTCTGCGAGTCAAAAGCAAAAGAACGTGCCAGAAAAAGAGGAGAGCAGCAGCGCGCCGAATAGAGGTAGTACCTGCTTTCGCCTGGGACTGGATGTGGCATTTGGTCATATTTCACGAAAATGGTCACAGGCTTTTCTCGCTCCGGTTTATATGGGCACGCAGTTTTCGATGCGATACCACAGCACCTCTCGAAAGTTCAATCACCAGAGCACATTTTGAGGGATCTTCAAGTCCAGTGGCCCCGTCTTCCAACAAATATAAAAACTGCACGAGGCATCGGTGTGCAAGATGCATGAACCAGAAAATTGAATTTCTCGAGTGACGCTGGCGCGCGTTGGCAGATGTGGTGCCCTCAGAACCGTAAGGCATATTGCTTGGAATATATTGCGTACTGTTCATGTGTACGCCTCATGCTTATGTTTTGTATGGAAGGTTAGCATTCAGCTGTTTGAGTAACAGCACCGAACTGCTGTTGATATCATTCACAGAAAACATGAGACATCTGGTGCGGTTTCTCCGAAGCATTTACGCCAGTTGTATTGTTAGAAATCGCATCGTGTTGTCAATATTATAGTTCAAAAGCACACACCGCAATACCGAATTTTGCCAATAACACCCACGATTTGAACGCAGCGGCACTTGGTAATTATAAAATAGAGGCCCTTGTGTGGTGTCATGCTAGGCACACTGTGATCGCCCCGAAAAAGAAAACCATAGCAACGTCTAATCGACGGACAATTGTCGTTGCAGTGGCTGCGAAGGAGCACTGGAAGAATCTCCGAAGCCTTTTGGGTGTCCAATCAGAGAATCAGTCGCGTTTCTCCAAGGTTGTAGCCAAGGCCGTCGCCGAGAAAAGAAAATTGCTGAGCTCCGGAAGACCCACAGAGGGGGCTAGGCCAATCGAATGCAAGGCTCCGTCGGAACAGACGAGCAGCCTCGTCCCACCAGCCTCGCCACCTGCAGCTGCACTCACTTCACCTGGTTTTAGGCAGGATACGAAAGCCAGCGGATCGCGTCGGACGTCCAACCGCACAGGGAAACACGACAAGGCGGGTAGAGGCAAAAGGGCAGCAAATGCGAGAAACACGAGACATGCAACGGCCGATGCTGGGGCGGAGGACGGATCATCGGATGCGGCCTCGCGACTCAGCAGAGCGGAATTTGGGCAGATATTGACGCAACTTGCGAATTTGAAGTTCCCAAAGGTCACCAGCCCTGCCATGGCCTGGAGGATGCTGATCGAGCGGCACCTTGTTCCAGTGACCGAGAGGCGTGTGGGGCGATTTGATGAATATTTGCACGTTCTTGCGTCCCCCGTGGTAGTGAGTCTAGTGGAAGCCTGGAGACCTGCGCTGGAGAAAATGTTCGCGGTGAGCCTCCAGTCACATTTACCGATCATCACTGTCGCTTTAAAAGAGTGATATGAGGGAAGGTCCGCCCGATTGCGTGTATCCATAAAACGCGACTTTGACTATTCGTCCTTTTCGATCGGCTACGCAGGTGTACTCTCGCCTTGACGCAGCGATGGGGTACGCGACATCTGATACGGCGGCCTCCATTCTGGAGCAGGCCAGCAACACCATGAGCTACGCAGAATTCCTGCATTTGTGCGCAGAGAAGCGCGTTGCTCCGGAGCTTGTGAACATAAAGGAGCTCGAAGGGGTTTTCAGGCGCACCAACGCACCATCCAACAGCGGCAAGGAAGACATGATACAGGTGATGTTTCGGAATCTCCTGCCAGCCGCGTCAGGAGACTTCATCCAAATCCCTGAAATTAATAACTTCCTTTCCGCTTCCCCGAGACCCCACACTGCCATTTGGATTTCTGGAGAGAAAATAAACACGGAAATTGCTGAGATGCTTGGAGCAATTTCCTTAGAAGCTGGGCAATGTGAAGCATTTCCCTTCAGATCTGCTATACTGTCTGCGGTCCTGATCCAGGAATGGCATACAATTCCGCCCAGGAACCATGTGCTGCACGGCAACTGCCATCTCAAGCGCCTATACCTAGGTACTGCATTTCGCATATTCTAGACTCGTACAGTGCGTACTTCGAAGTATACCATATGGATGCGGACATGTTGCCTCGTTTCTCCTTTGCAATTCCAAGCATGTAAATTGCAACTAACATAGACAGGTTCTATTGGCAAGTCCATCTTACTATTGCAGCATGCTCAAAGCTCATCTGCCGGATACGCAGCATGCCTATCGCTAGTTGCAATTGCACACCGCTCGTCCTCAGAAACTCAAATTCCGAGTAGGTGCAAGTTTACGCAGCAGCGGTATCGGTCGCTACCGTTTAACCACTCATGCGCAAAGCTCCCACAAGCCCTGAACTGTTGCCTCTTCTTCCCGCAGGATATGAACTACCAAGAATACGTGGACGCTCTGTGCCTCATCGCACTTTATGTGTATTCCAAGCCTGCTTTCAGCCGTCAAAATAACATGCCGGCACAAAAAATCGAGGCCTTCTTCACATACATAGGCCTCAAGAAGCCGACTGAAGGCCAGGGACAACCTGAAACCCAAAAAGTGCTGAAAGTGCCACAAACCGTGGACCCCTATGCGGAGTGGTGGGGAATGAAATTTGATGACAACAACGGAACCGAACTGGGGCCAGACCACATCCCATCACTGATTCTCGAGTCTGCCATTCCTCCAGAAGCATGCCCTCCCGAGGTTGGTGCCATTCTAGAAGCCGCTTTCGAAGCGCACAACGACTCCAGACTAGAAGAATCTCTGGGCAAGTACGCGGAGGCGAAAGATATGTGGCTAGACGTCGTGAAGAGGGAAAAACTCTCCCCTAACGGCGTCCTTCCGGTGGAAGAGAAGCTCTACTTCGCGGTGGCATGCGGTGGCGTTCACCAAAGCGGCGGGCAGTACGCGAAGGCCATGGACCTGTACCAGGAGGCCTTCCAGGAGGTGAGCATCCCGGTGCTGATGCAAGGGGTGTCTACGGAGCACCATAGCATCGCCTCCGTGGAACGAACCGCCCTTGCATGGCCCTTAGTGTCCAGGAGTTTTTCAATTGGCGCAGTTGGGAAGCAGATGAACGCCCTAATTTGGCAGTGCATTAGGTGTCTCAATTTTTGTTGATGCGCAAGGGTGACTCGGACCGAAAGAGACATGGAATCCTGACGGGCTTCGGTTCCCTTCAAGCAGGCGTCGGAGCTCCCCCATGGACACCCGGATACCGCCCTCCTCTACAGTTGCATAGGGTGCATTCACTACCATCGTGGTGAGCTTTTAGATGCCTTCCGCCATTTCGTCCACGCCAAAGTGGGGCGGGACGAATGCCCCAGCTTGGGTGCCGGACATGTGGACACTGCTGTGTCATACCACAACTTAGGATGCGCGTTGGAGCGTCTTGGAAAAACTGGTAAATCCAGGAGTCTGCTCCTCGGTGCTCTCAAGGTGCGCATCCCGATCGGTGAAACCATTGCACAGCACCATGCCAGGCGAATGAACCGTTTTAATTACTGTATTATCTGAAACCTCCCAAGTTAGCGACGTGGAGGTCCTTCACAAGGTCGGAGCAGCGCATGGGACACTACATGATGTCAAGAACGACGCGCAGCACTGTGCAATTCCCTTGCACCCACCCAGTGTGCAACGCTCACGCGACCACAGTGAGCTCTCCTGCGCCCACCGAAAACCAAGCGCAACCCATGACATATCAAAATGGTGCCTGTGCATCATGTGCAGATATCGAAATTCCTCAGTCTTCCAAATCTTTGAGCTCTTGTCTGCCCTATGCAACACAGTGGAATTGTGTGGGAGAAGGTCCCAGTTCACCGTCTGCTTTGGAATCTGGTATATTCGTTTTATGGCTATCGCATTCCGGCAATGTCAACTGAACAAAGGAAGAGTGGGACGAGCATGATGCACATCAACAATGATGCCCGGGGCATCGTGCCAAAGCGTCGTTGTTGGCCTCAAACAGACGTGTAAGCGAAGACTCTATTTCGAATTTGGTCCACTTAGCGTGAAATGGACGCTAATGGGAGGACCGATCCAGGCCATGGACATTAAGAAATTACGTAGTTTCATCGAAATACGGATTGACGTTAATGGGCGGGGAGGGGAGGACCGAGCTTAGCGTCCATGTGACGCCAAGCGCACAGACTTTCAAGTAATATCTTCCCTAATGAGAGTGAGCACATGAGAAAGCAGTTGCGCCCAAATTCTAGTGTTCGGAGTGTATGTGCTTCTGACGTGCAACTGTTGCGCTTCCATCCAGGTCTTCTCTACCGTTCTTGGCTCCAATCACCCGAGGGCCCTCATGACGGCTAGAAACCTGTCCCGCATGCACCACAACTACAGCTGCGTACGAGCTCCAGTGCCGGATTCGAGTCCCACCAGAAGGGAAAATCGCCACCCAGGGAAGGCATGCATCAGCTGCCAAGCATCAATGTCGCCCAGGCAGAGAATCGACCGCGTTTCAGAGCGGCGAAAAAGCTGGCAGTCGATTTTTAAGGAACGGAGAAACGGCAAGGGAAGGTCGCGGCACAGGCTCAGTGACACCCAGGACGGGTCCAGTCGCTCTGAGAGGTACCTCGGAGCGGGACTAACCACCGCATCGCAGGACGTCAAAGCCCTTTTCGGCCTTTTGAAGCCTTCAATAGAGAATTGCAAATGGGGCATTGAAGGTGAATCTCAGTTGAGAGAAAGCCTTGCAGCTGCCGTACAGGGTTCCGCGCCGCTGGCTATGCGTCAGGTACTGAAGAGATCGGAGCGCAACGCCAAAGCGCCAAATGCCAAGGGGGCTGGCACAATTGATGAACCTCATGTTGGCAGCAACCGCGGTGAATGGAGGCGAAAAGGAAACTGAACCGGTGTCGCCCCGCTGGGTCTCCTTCACACAAATGGCGGCATTGGTCTCTTCATGTGTGGTATTCCATGTACCTATGCTCTGTTGGACCTGCATCACGGCTTGCGGTGCAAGATCGGCAAATTTGCCCCTCTTCTGGAGTGCTTCCGTTGCTGCATAGGTCCTCGTGTGTGGGCTTTGCGTCCCTCAAAGCCCACCATACTGCCCATGTGCTGCCCGTAGTTTGCTGCAGTGAGGCCATCTTTCCTATGCCGGCACGGTACACGCTGTGTCGTTTCTATCGTCCTCTCCAGTCCAGTCGATGACCGGCTTGATGTGATTTCCCGTTGCATCGTGGAACATCCGTTTGTTGGTGTTCATGCCCACACACCAGACTGCCCCAAGTACAATTGTTGTCGTTGTACTTGTGCATACTGCTTGCTCGCAGTTTTCTGTTGTCGACGGTGGCTCTTCTTTCCACGCAAGGGCCGCCACTAATGTTTCTCTCTGCTCATACTGTTTGGGACCCTACATCGGCTCTTGCTGGAAAAGGGCCCGCCATGCTTTCTGATTAGCGGGGGAGCCCCTTTGTTCGAACTATAGTGTAATACATTGGAATTCCAAAAAAAAGAAGGGCCGCTGGCCCCTCCATTGGTGGGTGGGGTTGAGGGGCGCTCCAAGCACAACCTGCTTTCCGATTTTCATACACATCACAACACACCTACACAGCAGCTCTTGTCCAGTGCAGCAAGAACTTCACAAGACTTCATTAGCATAGAGATGTGAACTGGGGACATCAGCGTTATGTCAACGCAATACAACGCCCAGCAGCAGCAATCTGAACCGCACCTACACATGCTCCCTTGTGTTTTCTCATTGTTGCCACATCTATCGGCTTGGCATTGTGCTGGTGCGCGTAAACCAAAATGTCGGCAAACCAAAAGACCTGTCCTGCAACGGCCGCTCGAAGGGGGATAACAAAAATGCGCCCTGCCAGCATCACACGCACATGGCAAAACCTTGTGGTACATGGCAACGAGCGGCACACACACCCAGTACCAATGACTGCATGCTTCAACGCACGTACCCATGTACACAACTGATATCACACCCCAAGAGGGCACCTCCAAATCCCCTCGGGGATCCACTGCACAACATAATATATCACCGCAATAGCGCCTCTGCCCATCCTCATCCTCGCACACGAGTCGTGTGCAGCAGCAAAAGTGCACCCACACAGTCCCCAATAGTTGGCCCCAGTCCCCCAGTTATATCAATCACATTCATTTGTCTCCCACACACTCGTTTCCCTCCCAACCGCAAAAAAGGGCAGACCATTGGCGCAGCATCAACAGCAACACATTGCCAAGGATGGCCAAGGAAGTGCTGGTGCCAGTGCCATGCAGCTCCATCGAACGACCACTTGCAGGTGACACGTGTGAATGGTGACCAGGCAGCTGACATGGCCTTGCGAACATTTTGGATGTCGATTGATCTGGAATGCAGGAGGTTTCCTACCAACCAACGCGCCATACCCAACTCTACAGGCCTGGTGGTGCAGTCCTCGTTCATCTGTTGCACTCCTGGTGTGCACTGCTCATGCCAGCCCATCATTTATTAAACAGCATATTTGCTGACAACAATGCAAACAATGGAAATCTTATACATATTGACAACTGGGTGAATCATCTGGGCCTGAGGAAGCCATCACCTCATGCCAAAGCACATGCAGCACTTATTGCCCCGTGCATTGCCACCACCTGTCTCATCGCGCACAGGCATACGCATGCCCCTGTCCTTGGCAGCACTGGCAGGCACTCCTCTAGTCCTGTTGGCGACTGTGGGCTTGTTTTCTTGATCGTCGTCCCCTTTTGGCTTCTCTCCAACAGCTTCCAGTCCCTTGCCATTCTTCCCGTCAATTGGTTGTGGCAACAGAATGCCCCTTTCCCTGATCTCGGCTGACCCATCCTTTGGCACCACTGCTTTTTCTTTGGACACATCCTTTGCCTCTTTCCCTGGTTCCTGTTCAGCAGCTGCAGCGTTGGCTGTGCCGTTGGCGACTGCTGCATCCTTTGTGGCAGGTGGTACATCCTTTGGAGCAGCCAGTTGGTCCTTTGTGGCAACTGGGGCAACTGCTGTGGCAGCCGCTGGGGCAACTGCTGTGGCAGCCGCTGCCGCAACAGCCGGTGCAGCCTTTGGAACATTGGCTCTCTCCTCAGACGCACTTGGCCCTTCCTCTGCCCCAGCGGCAGCTTTGCCTTCTGTATCCTTGGCCTCTTTTGCAGCGGCAAGCAGTGAGCCCCACTTGTCCTCAGCAACCCCAGAACCTGCGCTTCCTCCAAGTGCTGGATTCCAACCGCGACTGCGCTGTGGCTGGAATGTCAGAGCCTTCCTCATCGACTGCCAGTTGGCTTTGGCTGCCTCGGTATCACCTGTAGACATGCAAACCAGCACTCTCACTGGCAACTGAGAGCACATCATGCAAGCATGAGAGTTCCCTCCACAAATCCAGGATGCGCCGTTCGCCTCCTAGAACTGAACAGGAATTTGCTTCACTGCACTTACATCCTCGCAGCCTTGGTAAGCTCCCTCTCTTGTGCCCATGCAGGCAACACAACTTGCAACTTTTGCACTTGAGTTCCAAGAAATCTAACAGCACTGCACTCTACTCAGCACCCCAGCCCCTCCACCATGCTGAATCAATTCCACATGCGGCTATTCAAACAAACCTTCACAAGAAGTACCCCAGACATGCGTCTTAGATATGCAGGATATTCTGGTGACTTCCACTACAGCAATATGACAATGTCAACACTCAATCCCAAGCTTATGCCATACACATCAGATAAAGAAAAGGGGCTGCAACCAGCTTACTCTAAAACCTGGCCATTGCCAAGTGGCGGCCGTGACATATGCCAATGTCTCAACATAGAGGAACAACAGGATAGTAGGGTGCAACCTCACTGGCAAAACCAGAGTGCAGTAAGTATGCTGGACAGGGGACAAATCCATGCAGATACGGCCCTGCAGATAATCATGCCATTCTGGATTGCCTCAATATAAGTAACCTTTGCTTGCGAAAGGCTGGCTAGATGAGCTCAGCAAAACCAAGAAAGCAAACCACAGCACAAGAACTGAACAACCATCACAAAAGCTTGCGAAAGGAATGAAAAAATGCTTGACTAATGGGCAAGGATTTGCACCTCCTGAGACAAAACAGTCACAGCCCCATAGGTGAATAGGTCAGTTTGATCCCCTGTGATCCCTTGTGGTCGGTGCACAGCACAGAAACATATCACGCCCTGTTTCACGAGCACAGCAACATACCGCGAAGCGCCATTGGGAGTGGATGCGTCTTGCCCAGCTTTGCCTCGATCACTGGAACAAGATCGAGGCCATTAGCCTTGGCCCCTGCCTGAAGTTCTTTGTAGTAGTCCAACGGCGTGTGAAAGTCGTCTGGCACTCTGATCACCACAGAGATTGTAAGACCATGAAATGCTGACTGCCACACAGATATCTGTATCGTTCTCTGATCTGCAAGAATAAGAATACTGTAGTTGTCTGCATTCATGCAACAGGCACCACAACCACTGATTTGCAGAGCACAGGCTAATACGATTGTATTAGTCATGTTTTCAGTTCAGGATTGTGATCTTGCATTCCTCACCATAAAGGCATTACTGCACAATATATGATTGTATTAATCATGTTTTCAGTTCAGGATTGTGACCCTGCACTCCTCACCATAAAGGAATTACTGCACAATATTGCACACTTTGGTCTAACGCTCAATGTTTGGCCCTTCTTGCTGAGTCAACAAGCAATGATATGCCACTCCTTTCTACAGATGTAGCAATGCGTAGCAACAGACGCATTGACTACACAAGCACCACAAAGATATCTGAATGTGCATCGGCGGTAAGCAGGCTATGCATCTGTTCCCATCCAGGCTGCACATATGCATGGGCTTCATGGTTGGTGTGACCTTCCTTTCAGGCAGATGGCATGGGAAAGCCCCAAAGGAATGATGGTTGGTTGCCAAAAGCAAGGATTCGCTGCGGATTCCCCATCTGAATAGTACCACAGATCACAAAGGATAGCACCAATCACCTCTTCCCCCCCCACCACCCCACCACCACCACCATTTTTTTAACGTCAGAAACAGGGGGGGAGTATCTGACGTGCCCAGCACTCACATGCCTGCCACACATCCAGCAACTCCCCACTGTGTTATCAAAGCTAGATTGGTGTGCAAGGTGTTAAGTTTGTCAGATGCTGGTATACTTTGCAGTCCAATCTCAGCAACAGTGCTGGGTTGCTGCAGCAACATTTCTGTGACTTCCTGCACTGCGTCCTAATAGTGCTCCCCACACCATTCGGCATGACCCCCACACTCCGCAACACCAGCCAGGTATGATAATGCCAGGGCGCTATCTGAGCCTCCCTACTGTACTCAACATCCACCACACCACTCCATGATTCACAGTACCACCAATCAGACAGATGCCCATGGCAGGCTACCAGATGTTGTCTGCAAGCCAATGTGAATGGACAGGGTGCACTTGCTCTGCTCCCAAGGCCATGCTGCTTGTGAAGCGATGGATGACACTCAAACAGCCCCTAGCTTGGGTGATGGCCCCATGCCTAACTGCATCAGGCTAGCCACTGAACTCCGACGTGAGCAATAAAAAAAGGGGCACCTCTGTGCGCTCTCCAGAAGCAACGCAGCCTCTGTCCAATTATGGACCCATCCTGGAAAAGGCAGGAACTACTTTCTCATCGACCCTTGGACCTCCTAAACTGGGGGCGCCAGCAGCCATGACCAGCAGCAGCCCCAAGTGCCCAGGTCCAGCCGCACCAATGCAGGGCTTGCATTTGAGAACAATCCTCAATGCAACCAAAGGGTTGCCTTTGTGCTACCCAAGACACCCAGCAAAATCTCATACAGTTCCTCTGGACCCAGATCCCAATGCAAACAATGGGCACCACTGAATCGGCAGAATGTCAGGAAGTGACCCCTTCAAGGAGCCAAAATTCCAAACACTGGCATATTCAATAAAGAAGGTTACGTAGATATGTCATAAATCCTATCTACAGCAGAGGTCTCACCCCACAACGATAACCTCCTGTTGCTGATCTGCCCATTTGGCAAATCTGTCCAATTGCCATCCTATTGTTGATCTGTCCAGTTGCCATCACACGCTGGATCTTTCACAAACATTGCACAACATTTGCACCAATAGAGGTGGAGACAGGCAACCCTGCAGATTACAGCAGAAAGCGACTGTTGCTGAATGGTATGGCAAAGTCATTCTGTGGCACATTGTCAAGCGAAGCACGCTTGTCTCAATATCCATTCACAAACCACAGCTTCTGCACAGCCCCATTCACATACCATTTCTGCCTTCAGCTAAGTACATCCAGATAACAACACACAAATCTCCGTGGC